AAATTATCGCCAGTTACCATCATACAAAAAAATATTTAAATGGGCAGAAGATTTGTTCTTGGTTTTGAGTTTTGATAAAACTTTTCGGATAAAAACTTCCTCTTTTTACCATTTTTTTTAATATACTATATGGTTATTATGTTAAATAGACTTTAACACATCTGAAAAGACTACGTAAGTTATTCATATATTAAAATATTTTTATGTCCAGCTTAAACTATTTAAATAATTAAATGTCAATAACAAACTCATAACAAATTCCTTAAATCTGAAAACATTTCTTACATAGGTACATAATATAGACAGAGTATCAGATATTAATTTCATCTCTGTCGACTGGCGTTTCATTACCAGAATATTTCACTTTGAGGAATTATTCCGAAACATAAAAGCATACACCCTGAATATCCGGACGTATTTGAACTCAGAAAATTTAAATTAATATTGATATAATAATAACATTGCATAAGCTCTCAAAGCAGTTTATAGATATTCGATCCTTTGGAATATATTTTGTAGTCAATTACAAAAGCAATTAACTAACCAACTTAGGCCTAAATAACTTTAAGCTCTTAATTATATGCAACATGTTCCGAAGGACACCAACATTTACTCAGGTGCTATTATAAGAACTCCTGTCGTCTTATTTTTATTTAATTGATGTTTTTCTCTTTAATGAATTATTCAAATAAATTGTACGTATATCTGATATTTATTTAATTTTGATATTTCTCCTAGTACTAATAGGTTACAAGCTCACTGATAGTCTATGATGTAACCATCAAAGCAACTAACAGTGCCTTCTAGTCCATAACTGTATGGGCGCTATTAATATTTAATTACGAACTTGTCCGCTGTGTGCTCTCTCGTCGAACTAGGGTCGCCTCGCCTTCATCAAATTATACGAAGTTTAAAAATTTACTAAGGATTAACACTTTATTATTCCGTAATTTACCGACTTCCGTCACTTTATTAATAAGACTACTGACTTTGAGATCAAGCATTATTAATGTAAATAGTTCATTCATTATTTATGTATCTCAAGAAAGGTACATTATTTTGAGTTTATCGCAATAGTTACGACATTATCTAAAGCGGTCAAAAGCTACGATAGTCGGTATCTTTAATGTCCCTAAATAGTTCACGTAGCAATGATCCGGTGACAATGGCGAGTCGCGTCATGGGCGATGACTTTAAAGAATGGAAACGGAAGCCGGCATATAATCTTTAGTAGTCGGCTATGGGATCGATTACTTCATATAAAGTTAGATTCCGAGTTGAAGTCGTCATGTTTTCGAGAATCCTCTCAGCTGCATGTGTCAAACGTTCTCGGAACTCCTCACATCCCGTAGTGTTGCTTTATTATTCACGCGGTATCGATTTCGAGAAAATATATATATATAAAAAAAAAAACATGTGAGTCTTTAGTCGTTAAAAATGTGCGGCCGATCGAAATCGCATAATGCATGATTTTGAGCGCTCTACTGGCGCTCGTTCAGAGGGAACTCTGCCTGATATCGTACGAGTAATTATAACCTTCATGTTTACAAATATCTATTCCATATACTGAATAGTTTTGAAAGTCATTATTGTAGTGGGGAGAGCATCGGTGAGGAAGTTCCGGTCGATAGTTGTTGCTGCTCGGTTCATGAAAATTAGTAATCCTTTTTTAAAATGAAATACAAAATGCTAACGACCCCTCGAACGTACAATGAAAGTAATTAAAATAATAGTTCTAACATCACGCAAAGTGTTTTCAGCCGTAAAATAAAAACCTTCGATAAAACAGTGGGTGGTGGCTGCACTCGCCACTGAATCTATTATAATATGTAACAAAATATATACCAGCTAACCTGTTCCTAGGTAACGGGCACGTTTCATGAAACCGCCCAGCGAACGATATTTACACGGGCCTCCGCCAATATAATGCTTGTTTTAAACCGATGCACAATCGTTTAATGATAAAAATATTATTACCTTTCTGTAGATGGATATGAATGAGTAGCAAGTCGCCACCGTGCTGTTTATTATTCATTAGAGGACTACATGTCACGCAAGAGCATAGGCACGCACGGGCTCACCGCTTCTCAAACTTTCCTCGTTCTATAAATATATTATTAGACTCTCTCTGTGGGCGGTGGATATTTTTTCAAAACTTTTACTCATATTCCTTAGTTTTATTGCAAAGTTTTTGGTATGGCATTGGTTAAATGACAATTTAAGTAATTACAAAGTTGTGGAAGCGATGACCAAACTTAAATGGTATTTGCTTAAAAGCTATCATTTATTTGCGTTTATTGATATCGAAAACTGTCTTTACGACATTTGCAATAAGCTCGAAACGCTTGGCATCAAGAGGGCGTCTATGGCTCTCGGCTGAGCCGCTTTGGAGTACGGAACACGCAACAAGCGAATTCTATTTGCATTTGACCTGATAGCGTTCGTCTTTTGTACCAAGCACAATGAGCTTCAATTCATTTAAAGATGGAGTTTTATACAGATCTTCTCTTATTTAATTACAAATAATATACAAGTTTGTACTTAAACAAAGGATATTAAAAAATGTAGAACGCCAGTGATTATATACGTCTTGGGTTTGTTTAGTTTAGTAGAAATGGAACAAAGGGAAATGTTACGTAAAAATATATATATGAAATGTCATAGGAATGCTATTTCCATAGTTATCGGGACCACTTCTGACTCTCATTCCATTGTTTGCGCTTCCACGTGTACTAAGGTTTACATAACAATCATCGGCTTCGCGACTGATTGATATAAATCTTTCTTCGGGTCCTTATATTACTAAGCAATGTCGGTGATGAATATAAATTAAGAATGTTATTCAATTGTCACTTGCGTCGTGCCGCGCTGATGGCGAGAACGGACGCGCGAATACTAACGAACTGAGGCGAACAAACTAACATTATCTCCTTGATGGCATAGCTTTAAATGTGCAAGGTTTTATTGATGGCATAAAATGCGTTTTTAGAGCGCATTACGTACCATGTAAAAATGTTACATAAATGTGCTGTTCGTTATTACGGCTACAGCCTGCTGTTTTGCTTAAGTAAATATGGAACAATATTCCACTTGTAAAAATAAAAAAACGGACGTCCTAATTACAAGGCCGGCTCTATAATTTGAACACTATAGTTCTTGTATGTAGATTTGTGGCAATGTTATATTATCTGTACCCTTGTATATTCGCAGAGCGATATTTTTTGTTTGAATATTTTAAATATAAGCACTTAGAAAGCCATTCCATACCTCTACATGCTTTTGCACGGAATACCTATATATTTTTCAAATGAGATTTTTGTAATAAAAGAGAGAAATTTAGCTTTGCGATGTTTTATTAGTAGAAGAGCAGAGTTTCCACTTGTACAAAACTAACAACTTGTATAACGCATACTCAAAGTATTAAATTGTGTTTGAAAGTTATTCTAAAATCATGCAAGTAATTTATTTTTTATTTACAATAAACATTACATCGCTGATTGGTAATAATTTAAGATAGCCGTTGAGAAGACCGCCGCCGCCTCTCCACTAATCACATTCCAGTGCAGTCAGTTATCTCGCTAGTGGCAATTAAGGGCTATGTATTGTTCTATAAATATGTATGTTTCATGTTTATTTGCTGGTACTCACGCGATAGCACTTGATAGATTGAGTAATGAGCGACCCCACACAAATTATAATACTACACGACCGATGAGGAGCTCGCCTGACGTACAATTTTTGACTTTTTGTTCAATTCATTTAAACCCCGATAAGGCTAGCGACTGTACTGTTCCTGCTTTCGCGATATTGTATCACATTGTGCTATATTTAATTATTCTGGCTGAGCTTTGCGTTCACCTTACCTAATTCGATTCTTGTTCTCGAGTTACATAACAAAGCAATACGGAGACGTCCTCCAAATTTTTAATGTACACTGAGCGAGGCGACTCGTTAGCTCAGTTTATTATTATTATACGGTACGTTTAACACAGCACCCTTGTATAAAGGAATGCGAATCAAATTAAACATAACAGTGAGTCTTCCTATACAATTATCATACAGTTTGTAATTTATGTCATTATCGGTGAAAATTATATTTTATGTAATTATTTTATACGCAGTCATTTTTAAATTCTAGATTTATTCATTTCCGTAAAACAAATAAAACTGTAATTAAAACGTGAATTGCTTTCCGGTCTTATTTATATTTACCTTGTTTGATGAAGTATGATAGTGAATTCAAATAAAAATTAATACACGGCAACAAGGTAATAACGGTTATAGTTTATTTATTTATGAAAATTATGTTATATTTTCATATGTAAAAAGATTTTATCATAGCAAAATGTAAGTGGTGCCGTTGGTTTGCATAACAATGTTAAGTTTTTGTGAAGCGCCGATCACGATTGAGACCGATTCACGAATTTTCGACTACGCGTGGCTTGAATAATGCTACAGGTGTTCCAGTTGATAAAAGCCGCTGAGGAACACTCGCTCGACGGAAGTTAAGGCGACGTCGTGACTGGGCGATGACTGATACTGCTCTAGCGTCTTACTTATACGTACATAAAAACATATCCATTAGCTATCGATCGTAAACATCTTACGTACTGTAAGGCGATAAACAATTTCAACTATTAACATGTGATATATTAGATTGAAATCATCACTACGTCATAGTGAATGTCGGCCTTTTAAATATTTACCTAATAGGCTGTCGGGCTTTCCATTGGATCGGAAATATAGAAGTAACAAATTAATGTCCCATCGCTCATCAATGTTAGATTGGCTTAATTATTGTAATTTAACATTGTGGTATCAAATTATTACCTTGACGTGACATCACCGAAATCAATACTTTAAACTATTGATTTTGTACCGAATAACGAACATGAATAAGTTATGTCACGTCTTAGTAGTACGGTATCAGCGGGTGTTGTAATGAGGGAACAAAGCAACTTGGGCGCATAGTATTAACGATTTTTTTGCTTGTTTTGCAGCTCAATGCATCGCACCGCTCGGCATGGAGAGCGGTCTGATCCCGGATCGAGACCTGACCGCTAGCTCCTCCTTCGACGATGGCAACGTGGGACCGCAGAATGGACGGTAAATATTATTCCTCCTTTACATTCATACGGCGCCACGTCCGCTGCAACTTTCAAGAGCTACGTACATTTTATGTAAGCATTATAATGATAATCGGACCGGAATCGCTAAATATATGTATGTTAGAATTATAACATTACTTCAAGTTTAAATTTTAATCTGTCGTAACTCTAGATTTTGTCGGGAATTTAATGACATAAAATTCCAACGTCTGGAATGTCGTACAACGTTTATGAATTTTTAAACAAAATTTAAACTCTATGCATCGACGGAGTACGGGCGGAACATATTTGAGAACATATTTACGTCGCTACAAAAATACAAAAGTGTGCTGTTCGAGACGAAAACAAAAGGACGTTAGCTGGAATGGAGTCACAGCTTATTTGCATGATTCAGTGTCAGGGCACAGTATAGTCGACATTCGGTATTTTGGGCCAGAACATACATTGAATCGAACGCCGTTGTTTGCATTCGATTCCATTTACTGAACGATCACGCGATTTTTCCACGCTCCCTTTTCTTCCTGTCGCTTTATAATACTTATTTTTTTATACATCATCGTAAAGTCCACATTATATATTTTTTTCAGTTTCTAAGATTTCAATTTAAAATTATTATTTTAACTCGCTGCACACTCTCTCTGTTCTTAAGACTTTATTATAATCTTCTCAATATTTTATTTTCCTGACAATGTAATCTTCAGTTTTATTAGTGTCTCTGGATCTAATATATTTCTGAAGAGCGAGCATCTGAGGTCCGTAATAACGTCTAAACAATAGAGCTAACTTTATTATATTTTCATTATTTATGAATAAATTAAAGGCTATGAATATCCTATATATTTTTATGAGCAAATTTGTTTTTATGTTCGTCAATGTGTGTTTTATTCAAATATAACATCGTCTAGAAACGTGTTAATTGTTCATTGTTTTCTCGCTCTAAATAAAAACCTGTCGCCTGACTGGCTCCTGGGATATTGTATATTTGAGTGTGGCGTGCGTCCGGATTACGACTTTAGCTACTTAACGATCGATCAACGAACGAAACCAAACATTATAAAGCGAAATTTCACAAAACGAGCTTAGCGCACTGAACACTGTAATCTTTGAGCTTTATTTAAAGCAATTAAATTACTGCACACCAGACCAAAGTGAGCGTTGAATTGCGTGTGAGATGTGATTTTGGAACCATCTCGGTTACATTAGAGTCTGATTTCGGTCACTCTAACCTCAGATGTGAGATGACTGTACCGGGATGATATCAATTACTGAGCCGCTCCTTACCGCATCATTGATATCTACTGACTAAAATGAAGCTTTGCTTTAAAAAATTACAAATAACAGAAAATTTTAATGACGTCTTTGAAGTTAAACTGTTTCTTGAAGAAGGCACAAAATAATTTGTGGTTTTAAATACAAAAAAAAAAATATTAAATTATACTATACTCAACTTACGCTTTTTAAGTTTATTATTATATTTAAGGTGATGTCGGCTTCGTATAAATAGACATTTCCTCTTATTTCTTTTTCAATTCGGTTAATAACGAAGATTATGATTAAATTATAAGTACATAAACGTATATGTTATAGTTATTAATTGTGTTGAAGCGGCTTTGAAGTCCTGATCAGATGTGCTGATTTAATTATGGATCTAATGAGGAAGTACGGATGCATATGATAATGAAATTAGTGTATTACATGTGAATTTATATTATTAATGTTTGTTACTTTGATGTCTGATGCTATGTCTGTATGGAATAATGCAAGACTATGATGAATTTTAATATATGTTTAAGTTACTAATCACGCCAACAAGTCTATATAGAAATAAATTACTGCTCGCACTTACTCGACAACTGAAAAATGTTGACAATGTTTATTTTATTCATTGTAACGTAAAGATAGAATACTTATATTAATTTGACTTCACCCTCAGTGAAGTTCTCATCGATTTGTGGGAGTAATTATAAATAGATAACTTTCGTAACGAAGGTATAATGATAGTCATGGAAGTGATTTCATTACAATTTTTTAATATATTGTCTCAGGGTTAAGAAAGCAATATACCCAAAATAATAAGAGACCTTCACATCAAATAATTTTCCATAAATATTATTAAGTATTTTATTTATTTGTAGGCGTATTTTACATTAAGTATTACACTTTTCCTCATTGATGGTAATTAATTTGTTTTCCATACCCAGCATCATTTAACTGTTTAATTATATTCTTTTAAGTCTTAACAATGTTTTATCTTGCTTAATGCAATGCAATGCAAATATTATTAATAATACATGAGCTCTGTGATGAACAGCAATACGATACTGCAAGGGTTCGTTAGTGTTCGTATAGACAGGCGAGTCAAATTACTTATTAATGATTATAGAATGCCACATATAACTTCGTCAAAAAACAATCAATGAATTTGTACATTAACAAATATTATTTGTTTTATATCAAGTTTTGTTTCCCTCGCTATTATTGAAGTGGATAATAAAAGCGTGAAACGAAAAGTTGAAACACATTGTCACATATATTTGTTTTTTAATATACATAACTTAAAAATTTACTTACGTAAACACGTATGTTTAACTTTTTTTCGGTATGTGAAATATTTTAATTTAGTCTGTTTGGTTTAAATCTCTTTGTATACTCCGATGCGAGTATATTTGCTAAGCTTCCACGTGCCTTCATTCTTACAGCTTCAGCTAACATTTATTTGCTTTATGCTGTTTAAGTTTGTAATGTTCCACTAGCTCACGTCCATTTCACTGTAAACTGTTCAAGTTCGATCACGTTTCAATCTGTACGTAGCTTGAAATTATAACCGTACAATAGTTTTTTTTAAATTTCCAGCTTTTGTACAGTCTTTGGCCAGCACAATACAAACGCCGTATGAATTTAACAAAGAAGCCATTGTAGACACCTTTTACGAAGTTCCTACAATAAAGTCACGTTGAGGGATGACGATGAGAATTATTACATGTATTATTTATCATAAAGAAAAAACAGCAATTATTACGTAATGAATTTTCATATAAACTATTCATATGAGATATTTAGTAAACTTTATTTTATGAATATGTTTCATTTAGTAAAACGTAGGCTGTAAGGAGGATGTACATTTCTTGTGGTATCTTTGAAATGCTGAAGCTTTTGATATTTTACTGTAAATACGAGATGAGATTTGTGCATTAATGAGCGACTTGATAGCAAGAGTCTTTTCAGCGGCCGGTTGCTGCCTACAGCAATCCCGCCTGAGATATTCTAATTTGTAGTTTTAATGAGTGCAGCGTCCAAGTTTCTACGTGTTTAAAGATTTCTATAAGTAATATACTAAGTGTGACACTATCACAAAGCTGAAACATATATAAGTCCTTACAATTTTCTTTGTTGCGTACATGATAATGTAGCTAAATACAGCCACGGGCAAAAGTATTAGGCACCCTACAGTAAGACAAGTTTTAGGGTGTTTTAGCATAGCGAGTGTAAATAAAACTGCATTTATGATTACAATGGTTTATTTTAAGAAAATAATTAATATTTTGTAGGTCCACCTTTTGACTTAATAACCGCAGCCACTCTTTTTGGCATTGACTCTACCAGCCTGAAACATTCTTCTCTTGATATATTTTTCCATTCCTGCTGTAACGCGGCCAATAGAGCTTGTTTATTGCTAATCGAGTGCCTGCGGATATTTTTCTTTAAAATGGACCAAATATGCTCAATCGGGTTGAGGTCTGGTGATTGTGGTGGCCAGTCCAAAAGATCAATATGATTTTCAGCAAACCACTTCATGGTATGCGCGGACTTGTGGCAAGTGGCGTTGTCTTGCTGAAATTTCAGGCCATCGGTGTTTGTATCACCGAAAATTTGCGTTACCGACGTTGCTAGTGCTGTTTCCAGAACTTCAGTGTATTTAACACTATTCATTCGTCCCTCACACAACACCATTTCGCCCACTCCGTCGGCAGCCATGCAGCCCCAGATCATTATTGAGCCTCCACCATGCTTAACAGTGGGAACCACACATTCTGGGTTGTATTCTTTGCCAACCCTTCGCCTAACATAAGTCACACCGGGTGTTCCAAAGACCTATGCCAAACGAAAAAAACACATTTATTTTCAAAGTTATTATTTTTCTTGCAGTACGTTATTTTAAAAATATTTATGTGTTTTAATATTGTACATAAAATAAATAACAATACCTCAAAGTTAGATTCGTCTGACCACAGTATGTTGGACCAATCTTCCACTGACCAATCTCTATGTTTGAGTGCCCACTCCAACCGATTTTTCTTATTGTGTTCTGACAGCCACGGCTTCTTCCTTGCTTTACATCCTTTTAATCCAGCTTCAAGAAGTATTCTTCTCACAGTATAAACACTCACTGAGCTGCCTTTTGCCTCAGATAATGCTGCAGCGAGCTCTAAAGCAGTTTTTTTCCTGTTTTGTAGAGACTGCCTAATCAACAATCGATCTTCCCGTTCAGTAGTAACTTTTTTTCTGCCTGTTCTTGGTCTATTTTCATGGGTGCCAGTCTCTTTGAAGCGATTTATAGCATATTGAACTGCACATCGCGAGCACTTCACTTCTCGGGCTATTTTAACCTGAGACATGCCTTGTTCAAGTAAAATCTTAATTCTTAGACGCTGTTCAGCACTAAGTTCAGATTTTTTCGGCATGACTAACACGTTAAATGTTAGTCTTTAGAATTGTGATAGGAATAGTTGCGTAGAAGACGTGTATGTTCACTGCAAGCACTGATAACACACTATAACCCGAAACGCAAAAAAAGCAAATTCGAAGAAACACCGCTTAGGAGCACACCTGGATGTCATAAATATTTTCTTTTATCTTAATTTGGTTAAAAATTGCCGCTAATACAATAGCTAAACCATAAAACACAGACTTGACCGCAATATAATGAGATAGTGATTAACAATAGGGGTGCCTAATACTTTTGCACGCAGCTGTATGTTTTATATTTATACTATGAATAAAGATCGCTTTCAGATCACGTGATCAATCACGAAACTCGTCCAAATCTTCAAGTTGTAACACGCGGGATTGTTTTTACTATTGTTTTTCAAATACACGGTGAAAGCTTTACCGAATCTTTTTCTTGTGTTATGACTTATATTCGATCACAATAATTTATAAGTATATTTTGGTATTCATCAACAAAACCGTATTATAGGTGTAGTTAGATGGACCGTGTGTGGTCGAACTAGCAACATGTGTACAGAGTTCTGAGAAAATTTACGCTTTGTTTGTTATCTCGATGTTCCGACGCGAGGTGTTGTTTTAGTTAAATGGGGAAATATATCTTAATTATAATAACATTTTAATTTACTCAACGCGAGTCCGTGGGTATAGTGTTTGCTTATACTAATTATAGTCGGTACAATTTAACGCAGTCGCGTTTATTTAATGTTACGTTTTGATATTGTGTGACGTGAAATATTCTAATAAAGAATTATTACATTGTCGCTGCATAGACACGCCTTGCTTTGAAGCATTATTCCGACAACGTCGCTAAAAGTATTTAGTAAAACATTCTGTTAAAAAACATGAACGTCGAACTACTTAGGTGCTAGTGAAGTGAAGGAACTATTTACTACATATTTTAAACTTAATTCATTTCAACCCTTACAACTACCAGTCAGAAACTCCTAAATACTTAAAGCCTAGTGTCTTTAAGCCGATACGGAATCCCTATCAAACAATTCCCAACCTGAAGCAATCGAACGCTCGCCGATTATTATGAATAAATAAATGTTTAATGTTCGAGTATGACTTTTGCAGTATTTGAATAAAAAAATCTCAATATAAGCCAGATCTAAATTTTATGAATCATACATGAATTTTTCCTTCAAGTAATATATATAAAATATAAATATAAAACTGTCTTATATTTTTCTTACAAATGTTTCGTTATCCTTTCTATAAATATAAATAATCAGTAAAATCGTTTTTGAGGTAAAATATTTTGTATTCAAAAAGTATTTTCGCTTGTCCTTGTATGTTTTCTTTTAATCAGCAGACGCTGCACACACTAAATAACGAAATAAAATATTGTATAAAATTTACATTACATACAAGTTATTACAAAACAATTATCCATTATTATTGTTAATAACGAGTAAAGTTTATATATATAATATATTGATATAACGATACAAAGGTGTTGTGTATTTAGGTTGAAATGTTTGTGCTTGTAACAGTAAGTAAAGTAGACCAAGCAGACACTTGTCGGATGACCAGTTTAAATCTAATAAATAGTTATCGATCGCACTGGAGCTGTTAAATCGTAGATCACACTATTAGCACCGTTAACAGTGTTGACCTCGTTGTCGTGGAAATAAATTTGGTATTTCTACCTCCTCCGTGTTCAATACTAAACTACACATGGGAAGATCTCTCGGACGTGATTATTCTTATGGTGTTAGTAGTTATTACTTACAAATACAATAGAGGCACAACAATAAACAACAAATATGTATGATTTAATACAAATGTTACGAGAAGAATTTTGATTATTTAATTATTAAGATAAACCGACTATAAACGTTATTATTTTCTTTTTACAAATATTTAAGAACATACGTATATAAAAAAGTAGTCTTCTAATTAAATTTAAAACTTTAATTTTTATAATGTGTCTGATAATTTCCCTATTGCCTTTTTGTTTCTACCTCAATTACTTAATTTCAAATAAACATTTTAATTTATTGCTAAATTAAGAAAGTATATGTCGCATCCAATGAATAATTTTAAATGAACATGTATTTTTATGTCAGTAATTTTTTATATATTACAATCAGATATGGTTATGACATCACGCTATCTTGCATGATATATTTAACTTATGAATTCTACTTCCACTCAATGACATACAACAGTTTATAATTTACGATATTTATATAGTTATTTATATGAATTAAAGTACATACTTCATGTTGATTGTTGATTGATTTATAAATATTTATGAGTGGATAAATCTATGAGTGCTGAAATGTACGCAGCGTATCTGTATTATAAAGTTCCAGTGACTGTCTTAATGTGAGATATGTCAAGTTTTGAGCTGTAAAAGTTTTTACAGTTGCTGCAAACGAGCACGTGAACTCTTCCCTAATGACCGCCCTACACTCCCTACATCCTTAACCTACTTGTTACCTGTACTACGATATTAATGACAGACCATATTATAACCTATGTGTACATAGATTGAGTTCAAATTGTATTAAAGTTTGTATATCTCGAGTATTCTGAAGCATTTTCCCCGTGCTTTTGGTACAGATTAAATTTTATCCCAGAAGTTCGGACGAGCTTTAAGTTTTTATCTTCTGCCAGTTGCAACGTATTAAATACCGTGTAGCTAATGAATTACTCAGATAATAAGAAAAGTAACAAAATAACCAAAGTTTATTAAACATTTTAAAGTATTGAAATAGTGTACGTATTATCTATCACCTTTTAGTATAAGAGATGAATTTAAAAGTAATTAATTTTCAATCGAACTTAGCAGTGTTAAGTTTGAGTGAATGGATTACAGATAAGCGGGCGTCAGACGACATTTGATACGAACAAGTCTATCGCCAATTAGGGAATTAATTAAAACGCATGGTTGCTCTCACGTATGGCTATTTGATTACACTTTGAATATTTTATAAATATATATAAGAAAGTTTTTGATATTTATATTTCATTCAGTGTGTTTTTAGTATATTCGATTTATATCATATTATTACGTAGACGGTAAACAATAGTCGTAAATTGTCTCAAATACAAAGAGTTGTATTGATGTTAGGTTAAATCAAGAGACAAAAGGCGGTGCCTGGTGCCCTAAGCCGCAGATCACGACGGAATCCACGGAGTGGCTTGAGATAGATCTTCATACGGTACATGTGATCACGGGAACAGGGACACAGGGGCGCTTCGGTAACGGACAGGGGGCGGAGTACGCGGAGGCCTACGTACTAGAATATTGGAGGCCGAAACTAGGGAAGTGGGTTCGATACAGGGGCATCGATGGACAAGAGGTTAGTCTTATTAATTCATTATATAGCTTAAATTTTTCATTAGTCTTGCACAGCAGTAATAATATGTGTAAAAAGTATACGATAATGCGTTAAGTAAAATCTTTGTATTACAATGCGAAAAAGCGAAGCGATTTATGTCAATCCAATTTAAATAGCATGCCATTAATTGTATTGTATGTTGCGAACGTATTGTTTATATGCATATGATGTGTTAGAGCCTGCTCTGTTTATATCACGAAGATGTCATGATGTGATTTGATGCCATGTTCCCTAGATCCTGACTGGCAACACGAACACCTACTTGGAAAAGAAGCATCATCTGGAGCCGCCTGTATGGGCATCAAAGATACGTTTCATTCCATACAGCTCCCACCGACGTACAGTCTGCATGCGGGTAGAACTCTACGGATGCTACTGGAGTGGTGGGTGATACTCTAATACGGCATTAAGTATATAATACAATTCATTTTACCCTACAACATGTTACCTAAATATAACATACGTATAAATACATGAATACGTTGGTATGCCCGGCCGTGTGACGTAATAAACTTGTGCACTTAAATTACTTCTCAAAACTTATATTCATTGTAAAATTCCACTAGCGTTATTCGCATTGCATTTAGAATTCTAAACTTGATTATTTGGACTACAGTCTATTCTTAGTTCTATATATACATGTATGATTGTTGCCGCTGTAATGAAATAAATCTCATTTATAGATAACAAATTTTAACTCAGAGAAAGTATAAATTTCTATTATTGCTATGTTACTTTCTATTCGGTCGCCAGAGATTTATAAAGTTGTCATAGATATACAATAAACGACGTGAAATGAATTTAATACTGTATATCGTAACTCGGCCACGTTATTATGGAATAAATATTATAAAGTCGTATAAAAGAAAAAGAGTTTTAATGATATATAAAATGGCGAATAACATGCAAACTATATTAAAATAATGTTAGCAACAAAAAACATAATGATACGTCGGCCGTCTGCGAGCTTTGACGGCGGGACGACACGATACCTTAATGGAGGGATGATCTGTTACTTCACCTATTATTACACACAAACTCATAAACAACGACGTTTTAAAACTTACTCGGCTTAATCCATATAAAAACTTTTACATAAACCAGGAATCCTTTCATATAGGTCAATTTACAGTACATTTCAACCGAGCCTCGAAATTCATTACGGTTTTTTAAAAGCCAGTAGTTATATGTTTAGTTAGATTGCGTAATATATTAAACCTATATAGGTGTTCTCAACGATGTCGGACCAGATGGTTACATCCTGAATGCAAAACGTGCCTGACTCATAGCTAATGCTCTCAAAGTTATACATTCTAGGGAACATAGCCTTTATACTTAACAGAAGCCCGATGTAGAATCGAGATAAGTGAGGACTTGGAAATAATTAATAAATAATGCATCACGGCAGCACAATGGCTAGAATTATTTACAAAGGATGTTGGAACAAGTAATATAATATATTACGTGGTTGCAGTGGGGATAGTGTCGTACTCGATGCCGAAGGGCGATCAAAGGAGCAATGGAGTCGAGTTGACGGATATTATATACGACGGGCAGTGGGGGGAGGAGCTTAGGGGAGGTCTGGGTCAACTGGTCGATGGGCAGTTTGGGGGAGATGAGATCAGGGAAGCCTCGAAGAACTCTGTATGGGTTGGATGGAGAAATGATTCGAGACCAACCCCTCCAGTTATGATATTCGAGTTCGATAAAGTGAGAGAGTTCTCCGCCGTACATCTATACTGCAACAACAAGTTCATGAGAGACGTGCAGGTGAGAATTAAACAGAAGAGATCGCCTTTGATTGAATAAAGTTAACTAAAATACTTTTTTAATACGTGTAATACGTTGCCAGTCTTAATTGAACTTTTATAAATACTAAATACTTAGAACTATCCGATAGTACCATTTCTTGCAACGCGTTTGTAAAGAATCTACCACTTAGTTGATTGTAAAACTTTGTTTAAATACAAGAAAGTTTAAAAATCGAGCAAAGGTTGCCTTTCAATACTACTTGTGAAACTTTAAATATTACTTTCTCGTATTAGACCTCCAGTTAATTTTCTCTATACACAAAAAGGTTTTGTTCTTTAAAATAATCAAGACTGCTTATATATTATTGAAGTTTTATTCAGTCAACGGTAATATTTTTCTGAGGTTATTTATAATGTGTATCACAAAATGTACATATATATGAATAAAATATTATTATATTTCAGGTGTTCTCGGAGGCTATAATATCGTTTTCGATAGGCGGCCGTCAGTTCCAGCCGGAGCCGGTCAGGTTCACTACAATAGAGAACAACATCTTCGAGAGCGCGAGGAACGTCACCATCAAACTACACCACCGTATAGGACGTTGGGTCAGAATCGAGCTTAGGTTCGCCGCTACCTGGATACTCATCAGCGAAGTTGTCTTCGATTCCGGTTAGAAACAAGAAAATTTATACATTAATTTAGTCTATACATCATATGATAATAATGCCCCAACTTTCCCATAGATGTCGCTCAAGGGAACTACACTCCAGAAAGCCAGAAGCCAGGAGTGAAAGATAAAACGAAGTTACCAGCCACGAAAGAGCTGCCGATATCGACAGCACACACAGAAGATCCGTTGTACATGGCTATCGTAGTGGGAGTTCTAACAGCGCTGGTCATACTTTTAGCTGTAGCAGTCTTCTTTATAATACATCGTCATAGACATAGGAAGTGCTTCGCGTCTCCTCTAGCGAAAACAACGATCGCCCAACGTACAGTGTCAGAGAATTACAACCCGTGCACCTCGATGCTGCCGGAGAACAAGATTGTTATAGACTGTCCATTGGACGTTAAGTCAGATGAATACCAGGAGCCGTACCAGGCGTTGAAATGTGCTCCGTACTTCAGTTACAGTACTGTACTGTTAGAGATGAGAGACTTTGTTAAGGATTCCAATGCAGCGCTGTCTGGTAAGTCGAATCATTCAAGCTGTGTTCAAAATGCACATATGTTAAGTACTTATGAAACCTAAAATTGCATATCATTTGAACAATATGATAGTATAGTTATATTATATGTATATTTTCGTAACAGATAGTTCAAACTACGACTACGCAGTGCCCGAACTGAGTTCAGCGCCGCTTCTGACCAAGCGGTTAGACACTCTCTCTGACCGAGCCACCGAGCTGGTGTCAGACGTTGAACACCTGGAACAGCTGGGACACCTGGAACATATGGACGCTATGGACTGTGAACTGAACAGATCCGTTAACTCTATACGGTCAAAACATAGCAATAGGGTGAGTTTTAAACAAAATGTGACTTACATTATAGATTATATAAACTTGATCTTGTTAAAAAAAAAATATTTACTAGCTGCGCCTGGCGGATTTCCGGGATATAAAGTAGCCTATGTATCATTCCTGGACGTCAGCTTCCTGTATACAAAATTTTATCAAAATCGGTTCAGCCGTTTGAGCGTGAAGTTACTACTTGTTGTTACTAACAAACATACACACACACTCACAAACTTTCGCAATTATAATATTAGTAGGATTATATCGTATACTTAGTGCTGTATTTACATAGATTTTTATCCGTTACGCAATTTCAAAAGTTGTGAATTAAAAGTAGGACACGAATTAATTTGTTATTCATGAAGTTAAATTAATTTATTTTTGTTTTTACTACAGAGTCAACAAGAGATGCTTATCGAGTTGAAGCGTCGCCTCGAGAACACCGAGGTGATAGAGTTCCCGAGACACAGACTCCGTATGATCTCAAAACTAGCTGAAGGAGCGTTTGGAACTGTTAGTATATAATATATAGTAATGAAATATTAATACTGAATATCCGATGAAGATCTAATTAACTGATAATGATACAATTAAGTTGCATGTCAATCGAATTAACATCACGCTATTAATGCAATACACAGCATTATCTATTGTCGGTTTAGCCTATTGTATATTGTTTAGTGACCAAATTGATCAAATTATTAATATACATACTAATGTTTCCAAGGTTTACGTGGCGGAGGCCGACGGCGTTCCGGAGTACGAGGGAGGCGTTTGCTCAGAGAAGAGATTGGTTGCTGTTAAGTTTCTATGCAGCGACGCGTCACTCAACGAGAGGTATATCATGTATGAGCTCTTATACTATATGATTTAATACAATAATAACAATATACATTGAATAACAAGTGTATAGAATTATTGCATGAAGTTGTTACTAAACTATAATCTACTAATATATCAATAAAATAATCATTAACTCTATATAATATAATATGTTATATGTATCTAATATATAATTGTTATGTAGGGAGGAGTTTGAGCGTGATGTTCGTATACTGGCAGCGTTATCATCGCCGTACTTGGCCCGTGTGTTGGGAGCTTGTCGTTCACCGCCTCTAGCTGTAGTGCTTGAGTATTTGGAACTAGGTATGTATTTAAAATATTATTATTATATATATACTACGTACGTATGTACGTGAAACGAAATATTTGTATCCCATGGAAAAGATTGGCCTAAACGGAGGAAAGTGGAGTTTGACGCAGTCAAAGTTGCACAAAGATTTTTTTGCATATAATGTAAGAGAAATACTTGAGTTTAAAAAAAAAACATATAAAATTTTAATTCGTGAAGACTTCTCAATGTGTTCATTGTATACTGATTCTGATGGTAAAATCTCCTCATTCTTTACACAATCACTTCAAAGACGTTTGTTAGATTTGAATTCCAAATGTTGTTTGTATCATGTTTATAAAGGACTTTCAAAAATGTCAAATATTTATTGAAAGAAGACTTTTATTATGGATTCCTCACAGTAATATACAAAAAATTAAGTCAACATTTTATTAATGTGTGTATTTGATTTTCTTGTATTATACAGGTGACCTCTGTGCGTTCCTACGAACAACATCACCTCCGAGCACGAGTACATTGCTTCACATCTCCACGCAGATCGCATCCGGGATGCATTACTTAGAATCGCTGAACTTTGTGCACAGAGATTTGGCCACCAGGTAGAAATATATCTATATTATAAATATAATTAAATCAGAGTATATAATTAATAATTTAATGATTTCCAGGAACATCCTGATAGGTAAGAACTATCAGATCAAGATCAGCGACTTTGGCACAGACAACGAGTCGTACAGCTGCGATTATTATAAGGTGGACGGTCGTATACCACTTCCATTACGCTGGGCCGCCTGGGAGTGTGTACTACGAGGAGAATATACCACCAAGACCGACGTGTGGGCCTTCGCTGTGACTTTACATGAGATATTCTCATTATGCCGGCGACGACCATACGAACAGTTCACTGACGCTGAGGTATGACGTCATATCTTAATATCTCTATCTACTTTGTCTAATATCGTCATTCATATTTGTATATTGCTCGTAGGTGTTAGAGAACTTATCCCACTTGGAGGCGGACGACGGTCTCTTCACATACATACCCCGCAGCCCGGGCTGTCCTCGCTCCTTGTATGACGCGATGCGCGCGTGTTGGAGGCGCCGTGACACAGACAGGCCGACCTTCAGCGAGCTCCACTCGTTCCTCCAGCGGACCGGCCGCGGGTACTCGTGATGTACGCCCTGCACCTGCTCGATGAACTACAGGTTGACACACATGTGACGTCATCACTAGCCAGGTTGACACACATGTGACGTCATCAGTAGCCATCTTGTTAGGAGGTTTATACTATCGCTCTGAAGTCACACCCGCTGGTTTGAGTTTCAATTGTTCTGTTTCCAACGAAGTATCATATTAATTTGGTTGTCGTTAGATATGTAATTATGATGCCATAATACTATGAAATTTATTTTCGTGATGAATATACTTTATTTGTATTTTTGATTTTGGTATTAACGGACCAAAACTCTTCTTTTTTTTTTATCGAGTAAAGTCGTTTGTTAATTTGTATAGCATCAGTACGAGACTCGTGTGAATGCTATCATTTTTGTACTTAATCACCAGCGAGCTTCGCACAGCTTCGACTGATGATTCACGAGCAATTTAGTGAAAGGAAATGAGATGTTGTCTGTCTTGAACATGTTTGTATACAATAATCTTTATACCTAACATTTAAATGTTAGGTATTCGGATGTGAGGCACAATATCGTGTTGTACTTAATAGTACAGAACTTACCACTCTATACAATGACTGCGTCATGTATATAACGCATATCGTTATAAGTTTAGGTAGATAAGGCATGTTTTGGCATTTATTGAACCGAAACACGGAAAATTCTAGACTTGGTTTCGTTCGTGACCACCATTTATTTGTAATAATTAAGTTACTTAAACGAAGACTGTACTATCTCTTTCAATTTAATTTATAGTAAATTAATGTTAAGTTGTATTAGTTAAAGTTAATTAGTGATGACGATAACTTAATATAATTTGTATTATACATAAATAAGTTGATGTAAATTGTGTAAGACAAATTGTCTATACAACGGATAATAATGTTTCTAATATTATTTAATTTATAAATACATTCATAATAACATATTAGCGTAGAAAGTATGGAATCCCAGAAAGACTAACGTGTAGGTTAAGTTGATGAGCTTCAATTATTCTACTTTTGATGTAGACAAGGAACAATGTAATTAATGGACGACTTAGTGCGGACGTCGGTTTTAAAGTCGCTCACTAATGTTATGTTTAACTTCACTGCACGTTACCTTTCTCAAATTATTAATGGTCTTCAATCGTAATAAAATATATTTCCCTTCCCCCACCCTCCCTCTTCCCTTCAACTGGTGTTGCCAACCTTAGCTTGAAAATTTAACATTTATTTATTTTGATACGAAACCTTACCGCCGCGTAAGTTAACAGTAGTTGCGTTTGAATCGAATAAATTATTAACGACATATTATATAGATATTTAGAACTTCAACGAATCGTGGCCGCGCCCAGAGATTATTATTGATAGATATTTATTTATCCCTTCATATTCATCTATTTACTGTCGAGAATATATATATAGTAATGTTTTATTCAATATGGCCACTCTGCGTTGAAAATCTTTTGAATAGTAGAAATATATAGACGTCTATTTTCTGTAGTCCGCCGGTACTAATTTAGTGTTGACATTTTATGACAATATATCGATCGATTAGATAGTCGTGCGTTTTGATACTCGGATGAATCTATTTATACAGTCAGGTGTTAGGCGACTGGTTATAATTAAGTTCCAATAAAAATAAATCATCGGAGTTTGAAACGCATTTTGTATGTAACGCGTGTGGAAACGATTGTTAAATTATTAATGAGCTGTTGTTTGTTGGAGCTTGTTTCAGCGAGGACTCACTCTATGAAGGCAGTCAGTCGGAACAGTCTTATTAATAATGTAATAACATGTCGATACCCACACGCTCTTAGCTGTAGAAACGTTCTAGTGGACCGAAACGAACGGCTTAATTTAAGAGCCTAAATATTTAGCACATTAATTAGTATTAAGCAAAATAAGCTGTTTAGTTTGCGATGTAGTCGTGTTTGATCACTTGTACACTGACCAATGTAATAGACTTATCGAGAGGTGTAGTAGTTCTAAGATAGATGACTATTTAAGATCTTACTTTACAAAACTGGCCTTACTTCCTCGTTACTGTCTAGCTTTTAGACTATATGTAGCGTAGAATTTATTTATATATTTATAAATCTATACTATCTCCCTCGCCCTCCCACGACTTCCCTATATCCTACCTTCGTGCTGTGTAATATTTTGAGGGCACATTTAATTTACAATAATTACACCTGCCTTAAGCGGTTTTTACAAACTGGGCTGCTTGCACTCCGGCCGATTTTATGAATATATTTACAGGAATCTGGGATAAACAAACTCAATAATCACTTTAAATTTGTATGAAAATGACAATAAAAGAAGGAAGCGAGCTGTCTGATGTTCGGTCGGCGTGCATTCCACTCATATAATATATCACTCTAGATGTTTTAAAAGTTGTAAATACGAATTTTTATGGCTGATGTAACATATTGAAGCACTAAGGAAATCTTAAATTCCTAACAATGGTCCAAACTTCATTCGCTTTTTTATTTGTACTATATTATTATACAATTTCTATTTAGATAAATAAATAATAATTAGTATATAGATGTCTTACGCTTTAATTTTATTTAATAGTGTTAACGTGTATTTGATGAAATGCTTAATTTTCATAATCAAAGTTTTATGGAGATACCAAATGCAGTATTTTTATTTTATACTCTACATCTTTGTACCCAAATAAAAGCAATATTCTAACTTATTTTGACTTTTATTTTATATACCGCTCCTTTTAAAGCAATATCAAATATGTTTTTATACAACAAGGAACACAATACATACTTAGTATTTTAACTTCCGTCGTATGTAATTACAAGCTGATAAAAACGTATAAACCATGTATTATTAGACAACGTGTGTCAGAAAAGTCAAAGAAACAATGCCCGTAGCTTGAAAATAAAAAATTCTCTACATATCCCAATAAAAAACCCCGTTCAGTGTATCTTAGTAAAAGAAACATAAGAGCAATTTCAATAGTAGGAACTGATTTGATTACAAACAAGTCTTATCGAAGTTAAGCTTTAACAACATCCTCTCAGTTTACAAACAACTAACACCGATAGTTTCCATCAAACACACTTCACCATGAGGCGTTACACCTACATCATGCTGACATGCATCTTAAACAGCGTTGTTACGGTTAAAGTTAAAGTCATAATGCACTCTGATGAGGATTCCAGAATAGAAGATGACGAAATTCCCCACACGGAGACTTGGGACGCCAAACAGAAAGTAGAAATAACAATGTTGCCATTTCTGAAGAAATCTCACGGAAACGTAAGGCATGAAGAAAAACAAGTAGATTACGAGGAAGAAGTTCAAACAACTGAGAAACAAAAACAGATCCACCCGAACGAGATGCTCTTCCCATTAATATATAAACAGAGCCATATCAACAGTATGTTCAAGTTTGGTGACAACTGGTACACCTGGTCCACGGAGAAACGAACAGATGGCTCTAAAGCGACTAATTATTTTATTTGCTACGAGGAACCGAAACATTGCGATGAAATAGGATGGGTAATATAGTTTTCCTAGTTCAGATCATCTAAAATTTTACATGTGCAATTATTTTTAAACATGATTTTTGGTCATTTATAGGAGCGAACGGACACATTGCCTAAGTGCGCTTTCCAAATAGAAGCGCTGACCGCGGACGATCGTGCTTGTATCAACAGCTTTGGCATAGAACCTCGACCCGGTAACGCTTGCGATGGCGGAGAACAGATGAAGGTGAGCGATTTGTTTATACATTTATATTTATTTCATGCACATTATTGGATGCGTCACGACAGCTAAAAATATGTCAAAATAATTAATGAGTCGATTGTAACAGGTAAGCGATATCGTAAAATCATGCGGGCCTCGCGTGAAGTCCCTATGGCGTTTCATTCGTGTGGGCCGTCGTCCCACCAACGTAGCCAAGCCAGCTGACGTCAACTCTCTCATCTGTGAAGACGAGGAAGAGTGCTTCGTTTCTATCGAGTATAGGGTAAGAGGAATCAATAGTCGTTAATACGGCATCATTCTTTTTTCTTCCCTAATACGGTCTCTAAAACAAAGTTTTCCTATACTTTTTAGATTCATCACGATAGAATAACATTCTCGCTTCATGAGCCTACGCGAGGACAAACATTCAAGAGTGCTCTCAAACGTGAGATTGCTGACGATGAAAAGGTCACCACAATTGAACCGCGACAAAAAATAGTTCACAGAGAGAAGAAAAATCCAGAAGTAAGTCAAAAAAATAGGAAACACTTAAGAGCCAGGAAAGTAGCTGAAGGAAAGGGAATAGTTAAAGAAAAGAATGACTCTGGCTACACGAAAAGAAGACAAGTCAAAAATAAAATAAAATTCAGAGAAGATATTTCAGACGATGTATCGGAGTGATTTAATAAATTAATTTATTTTGTATGTAGTATTAAGTCAACAATAATTAATTACTACCTGGAACAACAAAGAAATCAATATTCAACTGCTGATGATGATTAAAATACGTATTAGTTAAAAAAAAACAACGACAATAATGTAATTGTAAAATCTAATGTAAATGTATAAAAAAAATCCTAAAATAAATTGAGATGATTACGAATAAGTGTACCAAAAGGAAATGAGAGAATAATAAAATTCAAAATAATTGTTAGCATTTTATTTAATCGCATACAAACAAGAAATTTTAAATACTAATGTTTCTCGCAAAAACTTTATCTACATATAGAATACATGTTCAATTGGTGTATCGAATACAAGTGTGAAATAAAAACTATGAATTCATGGAATTACAACTCCTTAAATTAAGAGACATCAGGAAATATTTGAATCAACTGTCCAAAGATTATTTCACAATATTAGTACAAATAAATAAAAAAAAAACACAAACCAAAAAAAAATATTTGCTATCCGCATACCTTATACAAATGTTAATACTAAAGATGAGACAAAAAAAATATAAGAAATATTATGCTGTGTATATAAATTCCAATACTTGGCCGTTAACACGGTAAATCGCAGTACTAGCCATTGAGGCGAGGGTAGTTCAGTTGTAAGCTAGCTACAACGCTCCGGTTATGGCTACATCGCGACAAGCCATACTGACCGACACAGTCTCGGCATACTTACACTATCAGCATAACGACGAAAGCTCTGTTAGTATATTATAATCTAGGTCGTTTATTTTTTGACTAGGAGTGCGGAAGTATGGTCACGTGGTCAACGTACCAAACTTCCTAAACATAACTCACTTACTCCCGTGCAATCTTTAATCGACTCTATCAATACATTTATAACACACGACGCAAACTCTGTATTTATAAATAGCACGTGACTAAAACAACAAAAAAATAATAATAATATAAACACAATAAATAAAAATCACATAATGAGCATGTATCTAGATGAAACTAAAAATTATATTATGCATACGTCTTACTAGTAATTTATGTTAAATACTAACAAAAAAAATTTGCACCATATTTCTTTGAGAAAACAGATGAGTTTGTATTAAGCAGACTTGTGACATGAACATAAACAGAATATTATCTATATATAAGGCGTCTCGAATATCAGCAAACTTGCTGAAAATGATTGATCCGTCAATTTGTCGCAAGTCTGCGCTGCACTCTTCTTCGGTCTTTTCTCAGTAAAATCACATTAAATATATAAAACACAACACTGACCAAGTGCCTCGTATAGTAATATCGCACTAAAATCAGTAACACTTAATCTTATAACTAAATTGTGATGCAGATGACAACCACAGCCCATACAGTTATCAGTCAGAAATAAAACGTATTATATATTAATATAAAAGATGTGTCATAATTACTTAGTATCATAAAATCTCTTTCAATTAACCTATAACTACACACTAATAAAGATTCTAAAAAGAATTTTTGGTGGTTACAACTTGTACATTAAAACTAAATGAGATTATGTTTAACGTTAGTCGTCGTGTGATGAGCTATCTATATTAATTATTCTATACTATACACGTAGCGGCGTCATGAAGCGACGTGTGATCGGTCTGAAGCAGCACTCGGATAAATATGTTTTAATAAATGTATGTGTTATAATATGATCATAACAAAACGTCCATAGTCGATGAGACGATGCCCGCCACGCGGCTGACGGCGGTTCGCTCTCCGCTATCCCACTACAGAACACTCCACGAACGAAAACTCATAATGATGAGCGAGTGAGAGGGATAGATGTGCGAGTGAGAGGTGTAATGGGCGTGGTCTATTCCACGGCGGCCGGTTTGGCTGTGGTGCAGACGTACACATAGTCGCAGTCGGAGGGCGGGCGGCGGCGCGGGCGGACATGTAGCTTGCGCTAGGCAGCCGCCACTTGCCACACTATGAGGTGAGAGCGAGCGCCGCGGTCCAGGGAACTGTGACCGCTGGAGCCGTCCTCAGCCACCACCACGCTCTCCTCCATACCGCTATCAGCTGAAATATGAAACATAGAATTTATTTATATTTATTCAGCTGTTATATAGGAAAACATCGTTTTACGATAAACGTTACCTTATTTACACTATTGAAGAATGTTTTTGTATTAATTTACGTGTTAAATATTAAATTTTACTCAAACAAATGACTAATTCTTAAAAATAATTTTGTATCTGATTCATTTACATTATTAATACTACAAACATTACAAAAACTGATATCAATGACAATTTGATCGAATATATTTCGATTATTTACCTTTTGCATTGATCAGCATTTAAAACAAATACACTAACCAAAAGAATATGATGTTTATTAGTGAAATTAAATGATTTTACATTTTAACCAAAAGAAGTCGAAGTATTTAATAAATTGTTGAAACTACAACATGTTAATCAAACAAATATAAATAGTACTGAAAAATCACATTAATAAAGTAGCAATTACATACATTTCTGAATTTATACATATTATATACATATATACATGGCGTTATTATAACAATATCATTTATTATCCGTAAACATATTAAATGTATCATGCAAATAAATAACACAATAAAGCATCCCGAATTTTAATACAATTTTTTCAAAAAGTATCAATTGTTCCTAGCACCGATGACGTTTTAAAGATACAATGATGTAAGCGTGTTAGTTGGTGCGTGCGCATGCGCATGTGAGCCGCAGTTAGTCAAGAGAGGGGATGAGGGTAGGTGGAGGTTGATTTCCTCTGGTCAGAATGGGTGGCTGTGAGTCGACGGGGTGGCCACATGCTATCACTTACGTCTGTCACGTAGCAAGCTAATGATAATACTATGAGGTCAGGAAACAATCTGCCATACAATGAGGTGGGAGGCTGTATCCCGAACGTCATCGGCATGCTCTTCTAATGGCAAATAAAATTAATCAATCCCAGTTCTATGGAATGTTTGAATTTTAATTGCTCGCGTATGTGTGAGGGAACACGTTCTTATACTTAATAAACGATATGTGTAGATTAATTTAGACAAAGAAAAAAAAACAAACAATAAGCACCTGTCACTGAACGTAAATTATAAATATTATATTTTTCTATGCACAATTACGACGTGATTTAGAAACAAAATTATAGAAATCATAAATCGCTATATAAAATTATATTGCCTAATGAAAAAGCATTAAATATATAGTAGTCTACTATAAAGCATAAAAAAGCCGCTTGACCAAACCTCTTTAAGGTATCGCTCGTTAATTCTGCCCAGAAAAAAAACGTGGATATTGCTTGTTTTGATGAACTGAATCGATTTAATTCAACACTATTTTCGGACACATGAAATTATCGTTTCCAGTAGTTTTTTGTTTCGTATAGCTACAGTCTCTCACCTATTCTAAAGTCGATGTATCCCTCCCCGCCTGAGATGACTAGCATCGGCGGCGGAGGGGGAGGCGGCGGCGGCGTGGCGGGTGACGCTGGTGTCGGCGAGGGCGGCGTGGTGGGCGCTCCAGCCGGGGGAGTCCCCGGCGACCGCGGCGTCGTCGATCCCGGCACCGCCACAAAGAACGTTACAGCGTCGCGATGTCCGTGGAAACTCAGCTGAGCGTGGGCCATCGAACAGAGCGGTATACAACTACCAGGCGGCACGTTCACACCGGCTCGGATCAACGCAGCGTGACCTGTACGATATTACATATATTTAGGATTAGGACTGCATTCAATACAATCATTTATATACATATATGTCCGATATCTTCCAAATAATACTACGTATTTCTTCCAAACGAAACGTCGTATACTTAGTGTAGGATCCTTGTCCTACATGTAAGTATAACTAGTCACTGTCTCACTACTACCCCGCCTAGAGCGCAGGCGCACGCCCCCGTTCCACTTCACGCTAGTCATTAGACTGCCGAGCGCATGCCACTCCCTCCAGTGGGGTACGTGAGACAGTGTACTATATGTATCTATTGTATAGATACATACACTACAATTAGTAATACACTACAATTAGTAATAGACCGTATATGTATCAATTTACCTGGCACTGAAGTCCGTGTAGTGGTCGTTAGTGCATTATTCCCTGATGGTATGGGAGCGTCTGAGAGCGGCACACTGATCACTACGCCGTTGCTGGTGCCGATCCAAAGACGTCCTGAACTAATCAGCAGCACTGTGATCCGTACTAGCGAGAAGCCGAGCTTGCCGGTACCGAGCATCTTGCTGACGTAAGGCTCGATGTCAACATCCATTAGATGATCGTATGTAGTGGCGTGGTATAGACGTAACGCTGAATCCATTTTAATTGATACCTGAAATGTTGTTATATTAGCATATTTTTTCTTCTAATATCTTTTTATTATTGTCAAGGTTTGTGTTAAAAAAACTTTTATATTCATCTCATTAATCAAATAAGCATTTTATATTAAACTAGCTTTCCGCCAGCGTGGAGTTCGGTTATATCGCGTTTCCAAGAGAACCTTTCAAAAGTCTGGGATAAAAACTATCCTATGTTCTTTCTCAAGATCAACTCTATCTCTGTACCAAATTTCATTAAAATCAATTCAGTGGTTTAGGTGTGAAAGCGTAACAGACAGACAGAGTTACTTTCGCATTTATAATATTAGTAGGAATATTCATATAAAACAGTGCTTCTTAAAAGTAAGCCATCCGATGTTAGTCCATCTCAGACAGAAATTCTGTACATTTGACTTCTAAAATAGAATTATTAGCATCAATCAGTAAAACACAAAATCAGTCTCTAGTCAATTACAATGTCAATTTATTTAAAGCTCATAGCCTGTTTAAATCCTGCTAAAACAAAGATAGGCAAAAAGAATTAAAGACCGTTGAAAAATTTAAACATTACGTCGAATACAAAAAAAGAGAAACAAAAGTTTTTGAATAGATTTATAATTCAATGCATTGTTAAATAATAATGAATACGTTTCTTGTTATATATAGATAAAAAGAACCTATTATAGCTTTCCAGATTAATGCCAGAGCATCATACATCTTCTTAAGTTCTTAATCCTACTAATATTATAATTGCGAAAGTTTGTGAGTGTGTGTGTAGGTTTGTTACTTCTTCACGCTCAAAAAGCTGAACCGATTTTGATAAAATTTTGTATACAGGAAGCTGACGTCCAGGAATAACATATAGGCTACTTTACATCCCGAAAATGCGGGTAACACCGCGGGGCGCAGCTAGTAACAAAATATAACATAGTTTGTATATAAATATAGTATACTCACCCACACACCGTCCCTGTAGGCTGCCAGTTGTCGTACTTGGCTTTCGTGTCTTGGATGCGCCTCTAGTGAGTGTAACACACGTCGTGAGCGAGGTTCTACCACCAATACTCTGTTACGATACCCGCACCACACAGTACCAGAAGAAGGAGGACCCACTGCGCTCAGACATCGCACTGTACATATTAAATATCATTATAATATAGCGTATACAAACTTATTATATTATACTATAACTGTAACTTCTCTCCTATATATATAATTTATCAATAATTCTCCATTATATTCTTTTTGAAATAATCTCATGTATAAATTTTATTCCCATGTAATAATCATGAATTTTTTGTAGTGTTATTGTGATTTGTTATATCATTTTCACAACACATGTATATACAGGGTGACTGGTGAATTACTATCAATATTTAAGGAGCATACTCGGTACATGATTGTCATTCGAATTATGAAAAAAAAATTGGTACTTAATTTTTGACCAAATTTCCGTATAAATAAATAAAGTGAGGACACGTTCCAAGTGTTCAAGTGTGGACGCGTGCGGCGGCGTGCTGATACAACACCACGCCTTCGCACGCATTTGTGTGTGTGTGTGTATACCTAATCCGTAGGGTGTTCATACGATGCGTAATTAATTACATAACTTTTGGTTAACTTTACTTAGAAGTTTATTAATATTTATGTTATATTAATTTTTATTTTGTCATATATGATTGTCAAATATCACGTCCTCAAGTATCGATAGTAATTCACCAGTCACCCTGTATATCATTTGATTCTGTACATGTACTCTCATGCATCTGTACCATAATTAGAAAATCTTACACTTTAAGATATTAAAGAGATATTAGATAGTATGATTTAATTTATATTGTTAAGGACAAGGAGGAAAACTTTAACGTCCTGTTTGCTACAAAAACAATATCTTTATATCCAACAAAAAGATAAAATCATATAAATATATTTCACACCAAATTATTGTAAGCAAAAATTGCTCTATTAACCTTCGAATGCACATGAAATGACTTATTAAAATAGTTTTATAAGAAAATACTGATCTACAGGCTATCTGATATACAGGCTTATTAAATCCCTTCATTATTTTAATCTACCCACATTAAATATATCAATTGTTCTATATTACGTATGTATAAATCTATGTTATTATACCAGAACACTTCGGATCCCCCAATGTGAGTAGCCAGTAGCTAGTGAAGTCCCACATTCCATCCGTCCTTCTCGCAAACACAGCCACTGTACCGTCAGCAAGAGCAGCCACACATCGAGACGAACACCATACGATAGACAGGATAGCGTCGTTTAACTTTACCCTGACACAATAATAATTATGCATATATAGGTATAAGTTAATTTTATAAACCAATAAGTAGTTATAAAGTCTTAAAACAAATAATGTGTAAGAATATTCTTTTCAATTCCTTAAATTGCTATATATAAATGTATAATGGAGATACAGAAGTTATAATTCGCTTGTGGATAAAGTTAGTTGATAAAAAAATTCTATTGTAATTAAAAAGATAATATGTTAAAGAAACGATAACTTATATGTGGGACAGCATAAAAGAAAATAATCATATTTACTTATATATAGACCAAAATTATTGTTATAACTATATATATAAACACAGTCAAAATTTAATACACAAATATAAAAATCATTTTAATCAATCACTTTAATTCTAAGAACACTTTACAATACATAGGTACTCCTATTTTTTACGAAAAAATACATGTATTGTCTTTTGGGTAGCGTTCATAACACCAAACACTGTTTTTAATCGTTTGACACACGTTCAAGACACGGTCATCATTATTGTCTATACTCTGCAATGTCCCAACCTGAATACATTTTTGAAAATCGCGTTATAGTGAAACCGCGCACAACGGGGTCGCGTTAAGCGGGGTATTACTGTACATCAATATGAAAATACGAGTATGCAACATAATCATGAATAATATGACCCAATAAAAATATTTTTTTTTTATCAAGTTATATATACTAACATAGCCAGACATTTGCTGTAATTCTTCACTGAGGAGTACACGTATAAATTGCCGCTTTTCGTGCCAAGCCACATTGTATTCATGGCGGTGCTGATAACGTTTCCAACACTAGCTCCAGTTGCATCACAGCTCTGCTGCTGAGCGAACGCGTCAACACCTGGCTCAGGTGAGTTTCTGGCTTCGTTCGCTGTAAAATATAAACATTTTATACTACCCTAATATTATATATAGAAATGAATAGATACTTATTGGTATTCAAAATTATTCCTAAAAGAGGGTTGATGTCAGGCAGGCGGCGGGACGTAAAAACAATTAGCCGAAACTATAATATTCTAGGCAGACCTTCGCTAAAGCTGGGAAATTGCCAGGTAGAAGAAGAAGAAGACTTATTAGTATACAAAATTAAGAAATTGTTTTTAATTGGATTAATGTTTTTTGTATCTAGTTAAATAGGTTTCCTTGTTAAAGTTCATTCATATTATTTTTGATGGTAACAAAACAATTTAATTATGCAGAATAAAATGTTACAAAATATTTGACGTGTTTTATACTTATTGGTTCGATAATATTTAAAAAAAAAATCCTTTTTTCAGAAGGATAAAAATTATTTTACAAAAAATGGGAATAATATTATTGGCACTATTAACAAGTTTTGTAGGCTTATTAAACATAAATGACTTAATAGTTAGGATTGAGTATACATTTTGAAAACGAATTAATGGGAACAAAAATCGATTTTACAAGGAAACCAAATGTAGGAAGTAGACGATAATTTGATATTTTTTTAATACCTCTACAATTCACTTTGCTTACATAGAGTTTTGTTTGTCTTCATGGATAATTTTTCGCGATGTTAAATTATTCGAATTTGAAACTATTGATTATATTATTATACTATAATTGATTGGACGAAGTGGAATTATTTAAGTTAATTAATTAATTTTTATAATCCAATTAAGTTAATAATTTTATAAGGGATTTGAATCATATACAGGGTGACTGGTGATTTACTATCGATACTTGAGGACGTGATATTTGACGATCATATATGACAAAATAAAAATTAATATAACATAAATATTAATAAACTTCTAAGTAAAGTTAACCAAAAGTTATGTAATTAATTACGCATCGTGTGAACACCCTACAGATTAGGTATACACACACACACACACACGCGTGCGGCGGCGTGGTGTTGTATCAGCACGCCACCGCACGCGTCCACACTTGGAACACTTGGAACGTGTCCACACTTTATTTATTGATACGGAAATTTGGTCAAAAATTAAGTACCTATTTTTTTTACATAATTCGAATGAGAATCATGTACCGAGTATTCTCCTTAAATATTGATAGTAATTCACCAGTCACCCTGTATACATGTTTCCTTCTACATTTTAATTATTTATAGATATTTACGACCTACATCGATAACCATTTGGAAATAACTGTCATTATAACAAACAGTACTCCATAATAACTTTACTTTTAAGTTTTATATGTGCCAATTCTAATAATTTTTAGATCCAATTTCTTAATTTGTTGATACAGTTTAAGCCAATCCCTAAGTATACCTCCACACAATAATAATTTTAAATTTATTTATTACAGAAATTAACGTCTGTGGATTTCATAGAAAATAACTCGCCAAATATACAGAAAATCAAATATTAAATAAAATTAATACAATATTCGCAGTGCAAGTATATTACTCTTATTTGTGTATAAAAATCGCTATTTGCAGTTGTAGTTACATAAAATATTGATGAAGCAATATTTATATTGCTTTTATTACATACTTATAAATTATAATCATAAATAATATTAGCTCTGCCCACGACTTCCTTCAGCATAACCATAAAAATTATAACACTGTGAATTCTTAATATTGTTTGGTAAGAAACTAAAATCTGTTTATATATCAAGTCTTTATTAGTTTGATAGATAATTTCTATTTAAATGGAATAAAGTAATTCGCCAATACTTATGTATTAAGTATAACTTGTTATTTGTAATATTATTCTTATTTTACCATTAACTGGTGTTGATGACAGTGGTGGGCTGTCAGCTGGTTCAGTATCAACGTCTGCATTCCCTTCCTTTACTTCACTTTCCTTCTTCGGAGCCTCCTTCACTGGAGTACTTGGCGGTGTTAGAAGCTTCGCCTCCACCTTGATTTGATAGTAACACATGTTAAACCTCCTTTGTTTTTTTAATTAGGGAGCGTTCAAGTATTACGTAACGCAATTTTGGGGGAGGGGGGGGTCTCGTAAAACGTTACGATGCGTTACAGGGGCGGGAGGGGGTGTCTCTTACAAAACGTTACGTAGCATTGTTTCCAAAAAAATATATTAATAAAAACCCACAAACTGGCAACTCTTTTCATATACGTCACATTGTTGACCAGATTGTATTAGTCTGGTCGATATTTTTATTTGTTATTCCAAGTTTGCAAACGTGTTAATTGATATTTTACGGGGAATACCTAGATTGCATTGTAAGTCTTTTGATGAAATTGATCACTTGAGTGTTACGTAACGTTTTGAGAAGGGGGGGGGGGGCTACAGAAAAACGTTACTGTGCGTTACGACGGGGGAAGGGGGGGTCAAAAATCTTCGAAAATTGCGTTACGTAATACTTGAACGCTCCCTTAACCATATTTTTTTATTTAAGTTTTTTTAAATATGGAACAGGGTTAATATTTTTTTCTGTCATATTGTATTTGATGATACATATATGATCTGTTTGATTTAGTCAATATTTAAGTGTTATCGGGTAATTTATTGACAAATAAAATTAATAAAATTTAACATTTTCTTACCAATCTCGTACTTCCAACAACAACCTCTTTATCACCGTTTTCGTTGGTGCTCGATGTCACCGTACCATTGCTCTGACTCTCTGTAGAATCACTCTTGCCCACGCAGAATAGAGATTGCTATAATGAATAGACTAACATTATTTTTACACACATATATTATGTAATTGTATTCTCTGATAGGTTGATTGCTTTAATATAACGTTTCACTAGATTCGTTGAATAAAAATAAGTTTATTTCATATAAATATAGTTTATATTACCGAATGACGTTTATTCTCCTCAGGATGTACCACGTTGGTTATAGCAGCCTCCCTTCCCTTCGCCTCGAGATAATCCGCGGTACTTGCCCCAGGGACCGAAGCCACGCACAAGATGTGCTTATCCGGCACAGGGAAAGACTCCACCACCTCACCAGGGTTATTTGCGTCTATTATCTGGGTTTAAACATTTTCACCATAACATATATGCTTTCAGTACATACTACATAAGTAAAATTTATAAGTTTTCTTTGATAAATCTACGTCAATACTTCGAAAATAGTATAGTCTATATAAATTAAACATTTTCCCACCATAACGATACATTTGTTCTGTGTGCTGGAACAGATCCACACGAGAGATGAGAGCTTCCGTGTTCCATCGTCACACTGAGCATTATTCATCTCGTGAGCTGAAAAATTAAATATTTTTAATATATAAAAACTTTTTGAATAATATTTTTATAGTGTAGTTTACAATATAGACAAGTATCTGAAATCGTTATTATATATAAGGGTTTTCTTATCAAGTGAAATTATTTATTTGTATATAAAAGCTACCTAGACTGAGATCCTCTCCATAATCATCTGAATGTCTGTCCATCCGTCCGCTTGGTACTGATCTCTCCACACCGGCCGCACATAGAAGAGTCATCTGAGGCTCCGACTCGGCTATAGGTCTGTATATAATTTATATTAACATCTAATAAAAAAACACTATATATCTAAATACACTGAACTACTGAACTATTTATACTAAAACCAAAACAGTTCGGCAACTTGCTGAAAAGTAGCCGAAACGTCGGGAGTATGTAGTTTATAATTAAAAAAACTCGAAGTAAAAATCCGAAAATATTAGTTACATTTCCATTTCACAAACTGAAGAAAAATAATAATCCTTTACGTGTGTATAAAAATTTAAAAGTGACTATAATTTGTAGAGTTAACAGAAAACTATCAATGGGAATAAAATGTATGCAATTAATTTACTTCAATTATTCATATTAAGACAGTATAAATTATCATACCTGCAAAAAACCGGTACCGGAACAGGAACGCCTCCCGATGATAGCGATAGTGATGTTCCTTTAGGCGCCTGGGAGTTCTTACAAGGCAGGCTCCAACCATACGCCTGTGTACGACCGTCCTCTTTGCGAACGTGAGCACGCACCTTTATAAATAAAATCAATATAAAAAATATTTTCTTACAATTTAAAATACAACAAAATAACTTGAAATCTCTTTTTTGGATGTGTTATTTCTGCATAACAACTTATTCCAAGTAATATTATCAATTTATCTCACCTAGAAGTCTTATCACAGTTATTTAATTTATACAGGGTGACTGGTGAATTACTATCAATATTTAAGGAGGATACTCGGTACATGATTCTCATTCGAATTATGTAAAAAAAATAGGTACTTAATTTTTGACAAAATTTCCGTATAAATAAATAAAGTGTTGACACGTTCCAAGTGTTCCAAGTGTGGACGCGTGCGGCGGCGTGCTGATAAAACACAACGCCGTCGCACTCGTATGTGTGAGTGTGGGTGTATACCTAATCTGTAGGGTGTTTACACGATGCGTAATTAATTACATAACTTTTGGTTAACTTTACTTAGAAGTTTATTAATATTTATGTTATATTAATTTATATTTTGTCATATATGATCGTCACAAATCACGTCCTCAAATATCGATAGTAATTCACCAGTCACCCTGTATATATTTTAGCTACATTTCTAAAATATAAATTTTTACCTAAACCCAATATGAATTCTAAAAAATAATTTGCTGAATGCAAACAATAAAATTAAAAGGCATGATTATTATTTTTAAATATAAATTATTAAAAAAAACGATAAGGACAAGATTTAATTTAGTTTTATTAATTAGTATAGTCTTGAGCAAGCGTGGTGATTAATGCTCAAACCTTCTCCATGTCAGAAGAGGCCTTTGCTCAGCAGTGGGCTCTGATAGGCCGATGACGAATTAGTATACTGCTAATGTTATTTAGTGTTCATCTATTATGTGTGTGTACGTCACACACACACACACTCACCTGTCGGAATTGGTCGGTGCGTGTGTGTTCGTGTCTGCGCGTGTGTGCGTGCCCGTGATCCGATAGCTGAGTTTCTAGAAAGTTCTCTGTGTGCGAGTGTCTCATTGAGGCGGTGGGGGCGGCGACCGCGGGCAGGTGTGGCGTCGATAGGGGACGCTGGGGTCGCTCCGGAGAACTGGAGAATTATAAATTGATACATATAAATACACTGTCTTATAAAGCATTCGTTTCGATTTGTATAGTAGTTATTATATTCGCTTTAATGCAGTATAAAAATGACAATACCAGTAAAATTCAGGTTAACTATCGATTGAATCCTAATATTTTAAGTATATGAAAAATAAATAGTTGTTATTAGTCTATGGATGATTCTTTAATTAATTATGAATAGCTCAAGAAGAGTGTAAACTATTTAATTTAAAAAAAAACATTCGCAAGCGTAAGGTTCGCATAAGAAAGACGAAATTTAACATTCAGCAGTAGCGATATACAAGTATACATAAACATTGCATTAATAGTTTTTAAGAGGATCTAAAACATTACATAGTCAAATTTCTAATTAAAAAGTGTTCATCATTAGCTAAGACAACATATTAATTAATTTATTTTATTATCCTTACACTAAATCTCATATTTATTTCTTTAACCCCTACAAATAATAAAAACAATAAGCACATATTCTAAACTTAAAATCAAATAATTCGGTCAATAGTTTTCGAGTTCACGAAGGAATACATACAATTCTTCTTACAAACATCCCCAAAAAAAAAATTACAAGTCAATATTCGTTTTAGAAATTTACTTCATAATAAAAAAAATTTGCAGTACTGATGTCTTATTTATTCATATATTTCGCTTTGCAGTTATTAAAATATATTTGGTTTTCAACTAATTCAATTGCGCTGCGGAATTCTGCCTTACATGTACATTAATTTAAAAAATGTTCTTTTTTACATTACATAACATTGTAATAAGTGGTAACCTTTTATCAAAAAATAATTTAGTACTTAGTTAATTTACTATTCTGATAGCGATTTCATGATAATAGATAACATGGTATCACTAATATCAGTTTTATTTTTGTATTAATTCATTAAAAAACAATATTTTTTTATATATGTACATTGAGGAAGTCGCTAAGGAAGTAGTGGAATATATATCTTTGTAGTTAGCGCAATGAAATTTAATGTGAAAATAATTCTATAATAACTTCGTACGTACCTGAAGAGATTACTAAAAAACTTCCAAATGCTCTGTTTGCTTTTCTTATCCATAGATGAGTCGGCCCTACTCGCTCGCACCATTTCCGTCCAACGTACAGCGTCTTGAAGTTCCATGAAGCGCTCCTGTAGGAAAAGAATTACAATATGCTAATAAAGTAATATTTTCGGATCAATACGCGTTATTTTATTATTTTTAAATCTCGTCTCGACATAAATTTCATAAAATCATCTCGTCTGCCAGTGATCACGGTTGCTGCGAAGTAGCCGAAATGTAGGGAGTATCTAGTCTTAAAAATATAAAATTCATTTAAAATAAATACACGCCAAAGTCTTAGATCTCGTAATGACATGGTCTTAACCCTATTCGAGACTTGTTTGTTAAGGAATATACTACATATAAAAAAGATAAGGGCGCGAATGAAGTAGTTAACGAGTAATCAAATGCCATAATTGCCTTCATCATTTTGTATAAGGACTGTTTACTCTCAATCTGATGGATATTTTAATTATGATATTAAAGTATTGAAAAAAAAATATTACAGTATTGCATTACTAAAACTTTTGTCTAAAACGGTTGTGTAGTTTATGCCTAAAAGAGAAACAAAGATTAATGAAGACATACATCCCCACAAACTTAAGCATTTATAGATAATATTAGTAAGAAGTAATGATAATTTTTGGTGAAAATATATTACGAAATATCTTCAATACAACCAACCTTATACTGGTTCCTCTCCATGAGAACTCTTGCCATCTCCACACGAGTGAATTTGCGACGTTGCGCCATCGGTACGTCCGCTTCCTCTTCCGCTTCCGCGCCCGCTCCGCTCCCCGCGCTGGTTATCACCGTCTCCTTTACATAAAAATTTATCCATTAATTTTCTATCATATGCTTTAATTCTATTATCGTAGTTTTTAAGGAATCAAATTACATTAAAAAATATACATACAATAATTTCTTCACGTGTCAATAATTATCAATATCAATAATCAATCATATTTTAACATGGATATGTTAAAATATGATTGATTATTGATTCAAGACAACCAAATAAGTTCATACATATGAAAATCACAAGTAGCTGAACACAATATTATGTGTATTAAATATATAGTATTAAAGTTAGGTTAGGTTATCCAAGTTAGGTTAGGTCACCTTGAGATGTCTGAGTTCTTCTTCTAGGTGCGAGACCCTATCCCTGAGTCTCTCCCGTGCCGAGCTGAGGGCTGCCACCTCCTCCCTCAGTATCTCCTGCTCGCCGGTCAGCTCGTCCACCTTCACTATGAGGTCGTCCTTCACCACATTCAGGGCGTTCCTATCAAAACAATTATATGTAGAACCGTTAAAGATGAATTTAATATTATAGGTCCTATAGGACTTAGAATTACTATTAATGCCATTTTTCTGACTTAATTTGGGAGTCATTTTGTTTTAATTTTCCTAACATTATCTGGATCATATCAAACTGTTTAAATACCAAGATTGAAGAAATCTCGAATACTTTAAATCTTTTTCAAAATATTTATTTAAGAACTTCTATTTTAGAAATAATGATTAATTAATATATATTATAAAATTAAGAACGAAGTATCTTCTATGAAACATTTAACATTCTGTATTATATACTCACTTGGTCGCCAGCAGTTCATTATTCTCCAAAATTAGATTCTCAACTTCCTTCCCCATACCTATACATTAAAATATAATTGTAATGATACAAGAGACACAACGACAGAATGTTTACCGCAAAATAATATTAATGTTAGACGGTTTAGTATAAGTAAAGATATAATTAAGTCATCGAATACTGGAACATAACGATAGTATAGATAAATAAAAAAATAATACAAGATAAATTACAAATCATCACATTGAATTGAAACAAGAAGCATCAACAACTGATGACGCAGATTTAACAATTACATACAAATTTTAAACATGCACAATGAAATAAACAATATATAAGAAGCTTACATGATATAAAGCGGGAAAGGGTAATTAAAATGATAACAAAAACCAAAATATAAACTTACCAAAGTAGTTATCGTTAACTGCTTGACGAGATTGTTAGAGCATGGAAATAGAATAGTGCAAAAATTAGTTAATGCAATTAGTATAGACTTATAACATTCATGATAACGCAAATAAGAATAAAATGATGCGAATGATACAGAGTGATGCATTACCTGAGGACGCGTACTCCCCTGGGTGGACCCAGCTGCCTGCAATCAGATATCAAGTTAATATTATATGGCTCATTAATATGAATTTTTATCTATACATGGGAAATCTTATAAGAGGTAACAGTTTGGTTTGTTATTGATTTAAACAAAACTAAGTAAATATGTGAATATAACCATAAATATATAACCAGTAATATCAGCGCCATCGTCTCCTTCCACACCACCGTCTGTGTCGTGGAACGCCAGCTCTTGGTACAAGGTGTTCCCGCTTCGTTTCTCACTCTTGGTCTGCGAACGACCGGCTGGAGCTTGAGGAGTTACGGGGGACGTCGCCTGACATTCAAAATAGATAATTTCTTATAACATGTAAATAAATAAGTAAAAAAAAATTATAAACATTTATAAGAATTAAGTTTATTTTTTATTAACATTTTACTAAATAAACCCATGATTTCTGCGGCTTACGGATTTGAAAAATTTACATTTTCATTTTAACCCAACGAAACTTTTTACTTGTACACATGAGACGTCATAAAAAAATAAAAATGACATGCAAATGTCATAACGCAAAAAATGAATCGCACCTTGATGAGCGTTATAATAGCTATAACTATAAAAACAGTGTACAGTTTGAAATGCTACCAGTGTACATCTATGAACGACAGAGACTGTGTGTATAACGTGAACCTAAGTTATTTGAGACCATGCGATATTATACAAGATATGAAACCGGTATGTCGCTCCATATACCAAGTGCAGCTCTTCACTGAAACTAAGGACGTGACAGTGGTAAGGGAGTGCGCCTACGTTTACACAAAACCGCTAAAGTGCGGCGTATCTCATCTAGCGACGGTACATCACTCGCAGTGGTGCGAGTGTGACACTGACGCTTGTAACTTTGCCACCAAACTGGATACGTTCATAATACTTTGCATTGCCGCCGCACTCATATCAGTTATTAAATGAAGATCAATTAATTACAATCCATAGTACATTTCAATGTTGAGAATAATTTATTAAAACATAAATAAAATAATAAATAAACAAGGATTTATTTTTCATAGGAATCAATTAAAAACAATTCATTGTTTTGGGTATTACGTCTGTATGTGTTCTTACTTGACTATGTTGTGTAATAGGGTCCGTCTGATGAGCTCGCTCAACTGTACGTACCGCTGCTAATTCAGAACCTGTACAATTAAAAAACAACAATATAATTAACGTATTAATGTTTTTTTGATGTAAATGTTTTATTTAAATACGTTTGGTTATAGTATAAATGTTATGAAATAGTCATTTCAAGGTTATCATGAGATATTACGAGATGTCTGTCAGTTTGTCAATGGTTTTACCGAGCGGTGGTGTTGGTGGGGATGAGGACAGACTGTCGGGGCTAGCGGGGATGCTCTCCGTTTGCTCGGCAACAGCTCCTTCTAAGGACGCGAACCCGAATGATATAGGACCTGTTTGTAAACAACATTATTAACATACATTAGACATGTATGAAAAATACTCATCTATTACTTCATATTAATTCCTATTAATATAAAAATACTGTAATAAGAAATAATATCTCTGTCTATCGGCATAGACTTAGATTATTTTAAACATTAAGACATAATTTTTTCATTAAAATATGAATGCCAAGAAGTGAGTGATTCAACTAGTATAAACCATTATATGATATACTTACCACTGGACCTGGCCACAGGGTTGAGCCCCAACCTGCCTCGAACCTCGCTCCTGTCTCCGGCAGTACTCAGCAGTAACTTAGTCCTCTCCATATAATCCATATGAGTCTTGAACAATTCCGTGTAGCGCTCATGGAGTTTTGCATATTCCTAAAGAAATACAAAATTATATGCGTGTTATTCTTTAGTTTACAAATTAAATTATTATACATGCCAGTTACAGTTTTGTTTCAACAAACAAAACTTCATACCAGAGACTTTCTAAATAGATTGTAATCAAATTTATTCATTGTGCAATGCTCATAAAACAATTTAGTTCAAAAATTATTTCATACATGATAATTTGGTACGGAATTCCAAAACTGAGTTTATGTAATTTAAATTACCGTTTTTATAATCAAGTGTTACATAATAACTGCTTTTGTTGCAAGTTTTGAAATTATGTACATTAGGAGTGTTACGAAATTTCTTAAGGTCACATATTTTATGTTTGGAGATAAGTTAAAAGTTGTTCTTTTATTATTTCTCTATAACAAAACAACTTTATGTATTTGTAACCTGAATTTATAAATTCCATATTAATACTAAAAAAAAAACACTTATGTATGAGATTAAAAATTTATTGTATATTATTTTCCTACCTTTTTAAGTTCGTTCTCTCTTTCTTCAAGTCGACTGGCATGGTCCAGGGAATTTTTGTGCTTCAACTCCAGCATACGAACAATGCTATCCAAAGCCTCAAGACGTCCGGTCAAATCTTTCCTTTCACCTTCATAATGATCTTCAGCTTCTAGTAGCTAATACAAAAACATGTTGCTAAATATTAATACACTTAAATGTCTATCAAATTTACTGTGGGTAAAGGGCAATGTTCTTAATCATCTATTAATATATTCTATATAATTGAAGGTTGTGTTTAAGATTACAAAATAAATTGGCTTTATCAAGCTCATATCACATGTTATATTAAAATGGTATGCTGTTGGTCATGAAGCAAATCTATGGTGATTGGCCTTTAATGGAAATTTTACGAGATGATTGAGCAGTTTGTAATATGTAAATATTTTTTACAGGAGAGTTATTACTATAGATACATTACTAGTTTAGAATTTACCAAATATAATATAGAAATAGGATCTTATAATATAAATAATAAAATATTTTTAATAAGGTACTATTTAGAAAACAATCACAGGACAAGTATGCAAATAAAGAACCATTTATGCTGGCAAAACAATGGGCAAACATTAGTTAATAAACAAAAATATAATATTTTTTTAACATTACTGACAATGAACAATATCCAATGAAAGAAAAATAATTGTTTGAATAAAAACAATTTTTATAACAAGATAATAAAAACTTGTGGTAATAAATGAAAAGAGATATAAAAATTACAGAAATAATAAAGTTTACATTTTATTTGTTACTTTAAGCAGAATATAAAATAAATGTATCAATTACTAAATTTAATTATAAACAAGAAGCTATTGTATTTATTCCATTTTAAATATAGCCTCACAAATATATTCAGAATAATAACAAAGAATATGTATAAAATTAACAACAAAGGTCTTATAAGAAACAAACAACATTGCAATCAGTAAACAGAATTATATAGAACTATGTATTTAATGTACCTTGAGATTCAAATAGCACAGAGGATGACACATAGCCCCAGAATAGTTTTACTTATCTTACATTCACTTAAAAATTAACGCTATACTGTTTAAAAGATGTACTACAATTAAAGGTGAATAACTATTGAGCATAAACTGGGGTAGCCTTGCTATCAAAACAAAGGAAACTGAACCAAGGTCTACGCAAGAAACTAATTTTGTTTACCTTTTGCTCAGAATGTTTCCTGGCTGATTTTTCGCGTTCGTACTGCGTGACAAGTTGTTCGTTGTCTTCGCGAAGGAGTTCTAGTTCGACTTCATGTTCTTGGTTGGTTTGGTATGCGGAGTCCAGGCACTCCAGCACATTCACCAAAAGTGGCATCAAAGTCTTCACTACATCCTCGTCATAGCGAGCTATCATCTTCTCAAACTCTTGATAAATACTCCCAGCGAGAGATTGAACCTTCTCCGACATCACAACATGACTATCTTCGTGGGTCCCGTATATGGTTTCGGCCGTGGCATAGCCACTACTCGCACTGTCGTCGAAATTCATTTTCATATATTGTCGAGTAAAACTGAATTAATAATATGAGTTGGAAAGACAACTAATGAATTTTACGCGAAAACATTATTTTCGGTTTCTTTAGATTTCTGATCCGATCGATTGTTATTTTTAAGAAATAGTTAGGACATAGAATACATTAAGAATAGTGCAAAATTTTATAAAGTAATACGAAAAATGTATACAGATTACAGATAGACAGAAAAAAACGAAAACTACAATCACACCATTTCTATGATTGACGTATTTTTGCTATACTACAATTGAAGGAAAAAAATTTCGATTAACGATTGACGTTGAAACTGTTTCCGGATATAGACAAGGACTGTTTCCGCATAGATAACTATAAGACTTTCATATTCTAGTCTTCCGTCACATGTAAGTAAATTAGATGTTTCAGTTAGACAACGGATTTTTTTAATCAAAAATCATTTCTTAAGTTATAAAATAGTTTTATTCTAAAAAGTTCAAAGCCTATTAGTTTTTTATTTCTAAAATGTATTTCCAGATTAAGTAATGCATCTTTACTAGTCATTGATCATTGATATTTTCCTAATTTGACCTTTCATTTTTAAGACTATATACAATTACAAAAGGAAAACATTTCACTGATCGACTTTTCAGGCTTTTGATATTTTTCAAAATTAGCAATACTTACACATATTTTGATGAAGAGCAATAGATAACAAGTATTATTAAAGTAATTCCAAATGGCTGCAAACACCAATAATTTATGCTATTTGGCAAATTTTAGAAGAAGTTCAACAATAATGATGTTAAATACAGAAACTACAAAACAACTTTACTATACACGTATCCAAACAGTTATTTAAAAGCTGACGTGCCACTAAAACCTATAGGTATATAATTCTGGGCTGTCAGCTCTTTCTAACATCTATTGTAGAGTTGGTATATCATATACTATGTATTGCGTTATGTGTACTTTGTGTTGACAGAACAGTTCAGTGTCAACGTTGGTAGTGTTTAATTATTCGGAAAAGTTTTGCTAACGTATTTTTATGAATTTATCACAGAAAAGTTGTATAAATTAATTTATAATTTCATTGCTGAGGTATAACGGTATATATAGATATTACAGGACTATTATTTGAAAGATCATTTTAAAAACTAAAGTTTCACTATGGCTGTAAAAGGGGTCAATATGCCAAGTCAGAAGTCGGTTTTTGTCGCGTACATATTTTGGTTATTTGGTGGTATATTCGGAGTTCATCATTTCTATCTACGTAGAGATAAACATGCTTTTGTTTGGTGGTCCACCCTCGGGGGTTTCGGTATCGGTTGGCTCGGTGAAATATTTCGAATACCACGGTACGTCAGAGATGCTAATGAAGACCCTCAACATATTCAAGAGTTGGTGAAAAGAATGAAACATAACAAAAAGGTAACACATAAAATTCACATTTTTACTGTTGTGTTTTTTCACCTCAAAAAAAGTTTTTTTAAATAAATCAGTAGAGATGTAGCAAAGTATGTCATTTCATATTTCGAAACATATATTGGACTCTGAAACTAAAGGTCTTTTTTTTAATTTATCATGATAACAATGATAAGCTAGATGATTAAAAAAGATTTAGCTACAAACTTATATTGCTTATCTAATTTGAAAATACCTAGTTTCATTCATCATCTCCCTTTTTTACATTTTTACAAACTTAGCAAATATTTGAGCCACATCTGTTGATGTGTTTTAGTTAAAATTTCGCTTAAAGATGTCATGTTCTACTTTCATATTCTTTAAAAAAGAATTTTGTAACATTTTTTTTCTCAGAATACTATAAATCTTCTCTTGATTTACACAAGTAATTTATATTATTTAAATTATTAAAGTTATTGCTATGATTTTTTACTTTTTGTGTTTTAACTATGAATGGTTAGGAAAATGAAAAAATCTTGCTTTGAAAGATTTAAAGTTATTGATTATTATTTATTACTGGTACAACACTATTAGTGTTTTATTTTATATAGTTTTTCTGATTAGAAACTATACAGTTTATCATCAATTTAACTTTAATAAAATAATAAATAATTCTGTAACTAAAACCTTGCTGTACACATTACATACTACGTTTGAAAAATCTGATAAAAGTAAATTAAGTATTTCAAATTCTTTTACTTATGTAGCAAAAATTTATATGATTTCCATTTTGTCAACAGACAAGCTATATATTTTACATGTTGAACTTAAACTAAGGAATCTTATGTTGATTCTGTTATTTTTCTGTCAAAAAAAAATTTTTTTCAAGAATTTTGTGTAAGTTCATAAATACTTAGTTAACTGATTCTTTATTTCACTTTGTGCGATATATATATTTTTCATCAAGAATGAAATCTTTTTTATTATTATTTACTTCTATGCTTTTTTAGAATATCTGGCCTTTTTCTAAACCATTAATATTATTATTACCACAAGTTCAGCAATTTTCAACACCTATTGACAAAGCTGATCAATTAGTTCTGATTATTATGTTATATTTTGTTTACACAATACAATGCCATGACTTCAGATCAGAATTGTTATTCTTGATTATACTGGCACTAATTTCAGTATGATAAATGTAATGTATTCTTTCAGCCTCCATTTTCTATGAACCGTTTCACTGGTATGCTAATGGTCAGCTACTCATGGGGCCAAATGATGATGCTTGCTGTTCCACCTGAAGAGATATGGGGCATCAATTTTAGATATCTGAACTTTCTTGTACCATTTGTAGTTGCTCTTGGTGAGTTTTGTCTTCTATATACATAATTGAAGAATAATTTGTCATAATTTTTTTGTTACCAGTCATGTTCATATCTATTCATATTTCTTGATAACCATATGTTTGACTGAAAACTATAATGTTAACAACTATATGATTTAAACAACCCAATAAATGTATAAATACATATTTGCAGGTGTTTGGACAGTGGGAAATATAGGCAGGGAGTGTGGTTCATTCTGGTGGCCTTTACTAGGCGCCTATGTTTCGTACCCGTTGCGTTATTACATCTACGATGAGAGTTTTTGGTTCACTATCATGGTTCTGGTATCTGCACTGGCATTTGATACGTTTTCTAAGCAGTGGCGCAGGACTCCATATAAACGCAATCATTTCATCAAGTGAGTATTATTTCAATTGTTTGAGGATAAATGGTCTGTTAGGTGATATTTACTGAAGCATCAAATTATTTTCGTCCCACCCCTTATAACTTATAAGTACATTTCAAAGTTAAAATACAATTTTTTGAATGTTTCTTTTTAGGTTACATTGAAATAAGTTAAATTGTGTGCTATATAAAAAGGAGGGGACCAGTTTTGTTCTAGTATCATAATAATGTTTTTATTTTTTCAACAGACGGATCATAGTGTTGGGTGTTTGTGCCTCCCTTTACCTGTCTCTCTGGGTGGGTTATCTCTATTTCCATGGCACCATCACTGACAGCGATGGAGACGAAGTTCCTGTATATGAAGCTCTGCATCACTTTTTCACTAGTCCCTGGTAATTATAGCTAAATCATGATTTCAGCACAGTCTTTCTAAGAAAGGAATAAAAAAAGGTAATTTTTATATTAAAAATCATTCTAAACAGGTGGCTGGATGTAAAACAATGTATTGTGGATACATATCAATTTGCTCAGCATCATGGATGGTATGAAGTATGGAAGCAGATCATTGATCTTTCTGATCCAAAAGGAGAACAGAATGCTTACAAGGTAAACTGTTAGGAAGTTAAGTAAATTTACAGCGATCAATCTATAAGTAGGTTTATCAAATGAAATAGAGAATATGCTTCAATATTCTACTTTTATAAACCAGTGTTTGCTACGTACATATTTATCAAGGTAATACCTTAAAAATTCTTAAAAAATGTAAAGTGCTTTAGATTTCTATTTTTAGATGATTTTAGTGTGTTTCTAACTACACTTTATGTCTTAACAGGTTCTGGGTCTAGGACCAGATGCAAGTCAGCAGGAAATTACAACAAAGTGGAGGCAGCTATCACGAGAAAACCATCCTGATAAGGCGAAGCCGGAGTTAAAGAAGGAAGCTCAAGAACGTTTCATGGATATCCAGAAGGCCTACGAATTGCTATCTAGCCGCAAACACCGCAGACATCGCAGGAACAAGAGGGATAATTCCGATGAATATGGCAATGGACCGGATCTATAGGAATCATTAATATGATTACTAATATATACATTCCAATGAAATTAAATATATATTAGCCTAAGTATTATGAACGGTTCCCTTTTGAAAAGGAGCTGATTATATGCCAATTATAATGTTGTCAATATCGGTAGAGTTATATTTAACCGCATTTATAAGGTAGAATTTTTATCTATTTATAAATTTTTCTATGCCATTTGATGGTATAAAGATTAATATAACAATTCTTGTACTCTGATTTATTTTGTATGTATTTTTATATTTTAATATTAAGTGAATCTCTTAATATAAAACTTTTCTACTTGTCAACTAATATTTTTATGGAAGGTAGATTATATGTGCTCAAATTAAATGAAATCAATAGGTTGTTTGTATCTTTAAGATTATTATGGTTAATAATATTTATTGATTTTTTAAAAATATAGTTGCATTAAATGTACCAAATATATTTAAGATTTAGCTTAAGTTTTATTCCAGCACAGGATAACAATTTGGAAATATTACATTCAGAAATAGTCCTTTGTTAGTAATTAAAAAAAAGGTTAACTTTTGTGTATTATTTAATTAATATTGCAACCACATAGACATATCATTCCACATATGTATTTTGAATAATTATATATTTTTATTTATTCAATTTTATTTAGTTATTAATTATTATTAATAAACCTTATAATTAACTCTTAGACTGAAACTGTTACTTTAACCGTCCATTTTAATGTCTGTTTACCGGCTCTGCCTATCTTGGACATTTTGTATTTCAATCAAGTTTTTAAAACACTATAGAACTGCAATAACTGCTACATAACATTCAGTTCTAATTTGCCAAGGAGTAAAGCCGGTAACCCGACTTGTATTTAATTTTTGATGTGTTCGTATAAAAACGGATTTCTTTTCGTAATATATTATTTAGTTTTATTAACATTATCCTATTTGTAGTTATTCATAAATGTGAAATATTTATATATTTAATTAAAATATTTTATAAATGATATTATTTTATTCTTTCTATAATACATCCATTAGCTTGTTTGCCAACTAAAAAAAGCTTGGTGTAAAAGAAAATATTTGTTTGTATACTAATTAATAAATTAAGTAGGTGTTTTTGTTGGTGTATGTAATAACATAGGTGTTTTTGTTGGTGCATGATAATAATCATGAGATGGAAATTATACAGGGTGACTGGTGAATTACTATCGATATTTGAGGACGTGATATTTGACGATCATATATGACAAAATAAAAATTAATAAAACATAAATATTAATAAACTTCTAAGTAAAGTTAACCAAAGTTATGTAATTAATTACGCATCGTGTGAACACCCTACAGATTAGGTATACACACACACACACACGCGTGAGGCGGCGTGGTTTTGTATCAGCACGCGTCCACACTCGGAACACTTGGAACGTGTCCACACTTTATTTATTTATACGGAAATTTGGTCAAAAATTAAGTACCTATTTTTTTTACATAATTCGAATGAGAATCATGTACCGAGTATTCTCCTTAAATATTGATAGTAATTCACCAGTCACCCTGTATAGATACAAGCATAATTTTATTATATTAAACAGCCAATTTGTTTTTGATAAAATTAAAACTCAAACATAAGTTATCAATTATTAAACTAAGTGAGAATTAAAGCTAAATACCTAATTATTATAAATAAATATATGTGTTGACTTACCTGTTTTATATTTGATAGACTTTATTGAACTTTTGGATGGAAACATTTTTAATAAAATAGTTTATACTATTTTATCTTTTTATAAAAAGGTTGAAGTCAGGATGTTTATGAGCACAGTTGCTTAATATTTTATAATAATAACTTGAGGTTTATTGTTGAGTTCATACCTATGTATACTAATATTATAAAGCTGAGGAGTTTGTTTGTTTGTTTGAAAGCGCTAATCTCCGAAAGTACTGGTTCGAATTGAATAATTCTTTTTGTGTTGGATAGTCCAGTTATCGAGGAAGGCTGTGGGCTATATAACATTAAGCTACGACCAATAGGAGCAAAGATATAGTGGTAAATGTGTAAAAAAGCGGAGAAATTATTTCATCTTTGAAGCCTTCCATTGCGTGCGCCGTGAAAACGGTTCAAGATACACAAAAATATGTATTAAAAAATAATAGCTCTTTTAATAATCTAAAAAACAGTCCGCGACAGTTTATGTCTATCTTTTAAGATTAACTCACAAAAACCGTTGTTATGGTACCTAATTTGGTCAAAATAATTTGTTTAAGTTGTATCAACATAATAATATTAATCTTTATTCAAATAAACAAATAAACATGTTGTTGGTTAAGAGTACTTCATTGTGAATAAAAAAAAAACATAGGTTTTATCCTGGAAATTCTACGGGAACTCGACCGTTCCGAAAACCCCGCAAGAACGGGAACTATGTGGGAAGAACCAAAAATCTGCCGGAAGTCACTATTCCACGCAGAGGAAGTCGCGGCAAAAGCTAGTTTACTATATAGCTTACTAATTAGCTTGTGATGAAAAGAAATCATGCCTAAATCATATTATTTTATCCAATGTTATAAAAGTAGCCGAAACAAATAAATGACTACATATTTTTAATTATTATCTTAGAATCCACTAAGAATTTTAATATTTCGATTAAATATAATGATTTTATACATATTATAAGCGATAGTATATTTTATATTAGAGGAAATTCTCCACAAAACTCAGTTATTTAAATAATTCTTTCTTTATAATTATTATTTTTAAATCTTATTTAAATATCTTATTATTATTATTTGACCTTACTACACATTTAACTAGAAGAATTCATACATAAATCAAAATTGAAAACAAAAAGCATTAACGAGAGATTATTACATCTCAATGAAACATCTTTTAAATCGTTTTTATTTATTTATTAAGGTACGTGTACCCCTACTTCATCATCTACACATTCAGAATAATATGATAGCCATTAACCACTAATTTTAACATTTGTCTGAAGTACCAAGCATATAAGATTTAAAAGATGACTGGCACAGATTATTAAGAACATCTCTAGTAGTGATCTGTTGCGTTCACAGCTACTTCATACATTGAAGAATATTTAAAAATCGGTTTTAATAATAAGCATTTTAAATACGCGTAATTATTTAAATTTGATTACATTGTATTAAAGATATAATAAGTGACATTTATAAAGTATGTTTACATCGATAAAACATTTTGTATTGATCAAGTGATAATACTCTTCTAACATGAATTTCTAACGTTATAACATTTTCTACTTTTCTAATATAGATTTGACACATATATCATAATTTATAGAAAGACAAATATTAAATTGATAGTTTTTTACTACATTAAACTTCAATATGCTTAAATGTTTCGTGAAGATCAGTAAGTAATATTACTTAATGATTATAATATAGTGAATGTTTAACATTTTGATAACAAGTATGTATGTTTGTATATGAATGGCACATATCGTAACAACCCACTCCAGTATGTAGACTTATACGATCGACGTGCGTACACGCAAAACGACCTCTGTACCTTTATAATTTATATATTTATATTCTTATTTAAGTAAAATATACAAAAACATATCGAAATAATTTTTACAAAATAAATGGCAAACGAGGGTTCGGTCGAATTAACCTATTCATACAATAAAACAATTAGTTACTAAATGTTTAAATATTGAGATGCGTTTTCATGAACAGTATAATAATTGGTTCTGAGATTAACAATGAAAAGAAAACTATGACGTCTTATTGAAAATCCGTTCTCTTTCCTCGGCAAGAGACTTTCAAAGTTTTCTTCTGGCGAATATATTGGCAATATGTTCCTGTAAATGTTAGGCACTGTATACATATGTTAAATAAATTGGTACGTCCAAGTAACATCTTCGTTTTAATTCCAGTCAGGAACGTCAATAAGTCGTCAGAGCTCACACGAGGAATGTTGCAAAACTGTATCACGCGGTTTAATATCTCCACCCCGGTATTATACAGTGTCAAGCATTAAGTAGTTAGATATATTATGGCAATATCGTTCAAGGAATTTCACAGTTGTCTTGAGCCGAACTAAATGTATATTGTAATGTAATTAATCTAATTATCACAGTTTAAAATAAAAGTAACTTTAACTTAAAATTATACATTCTGGAAACATAAACATAGCCTTTCTTAAACTAAATTAATAAATAACTTATAATTTGTGAAGCACTTCTTCATATGTTCAAGCACTTCATTTGAAATATTTTTACAAATCATAGGTTTTTAACAGATTTTTACAATAATTAAGTAGAAGAAAATAACAAACTGAATTATAACTACAATAAATCTTTTAGTTTCACTGTTTTCACAACAAGTTAACACTAGCCATCTTATTAATGGCACTAGGAGGTTTGGGCTCCTTTAAGTATGCAGTCTTAGAAACGAGTAGACGTCTCGTATTTGTCATAGTCGGATTCATCGAAGTAGAGGACCAGCGCGCAGGCCTCACTGCCGCGCTCGGCCCTTGAGGCCTGTCAGACGGTTGTTTCGTTGCGGCGTAGCGGCTGCAGCTCGCGTTGAAGGTCATTGTAGTATTCGTGGTCCGACATGGACTCTTCTTCTACAGACCGCTGCGGTGCATACCGGCTAGGACCTGGCTGTGGCGTATTGACACTCTCACTGGTTTCACTTGGGAGTGACTCCGGCGCCACTGGCTCTGTGGGTATTCCCAGGGTTTGCTGGGGAACGTTCTGGTCCGACATCAAGTACTCTGGATTATCAATGCATCGCTTAGATGCAAGGAAACCGCTGTAACGTAAATCCTGGTTTTCTTGTCCTTCTGCTCCCTCAGCTATTAAATCCATATACGTAGAAGTTGTTTGATTTTGTTGAGGGGATGGCATTAAGTAATCGTCTTCATCAAGAGGCAAGTTTAGTTTCAGATTTCCTACGTGTGCTTCTCTGACTTTACTCATACTGTCGAATTTCGTCTCGGCACAGTCAGGTCGACTTCTCATTGGGTCACTGCAATAACGGGAACTGGTATTTTCAGACCCACAAACACCATTATTATAATAGTGTCGTAGTTCTGTTCCATCTGCATTTGAAGAATTATTATAATGCAACGCATCTTGATCCCATTCTTGCCTGTTGGAATTCTCTGTAGTAACATTTTCTTGTCCAGGTGCGTTATTAGTCCAGGAGGAGGAAGTACAGGGCTTTGTAGTGTGTCTATTTGTTTCAAGTGTTACGGTAGCAGTAGAATTGGTTGTCGCCGTACCAGGCACTGAAGGCTTTAGTTGTGGTTGTAAATACTCATCCGCTTCTACTAAAGGTTCAGGTCCATCCATTCCCGAAGAGAGAGTCCTTATCAGTTCCTTTTCATCCTGAAAAATTTTGCATAGTTATTATTGAATCGGTTTTTTATTTTGTAACGTGCAGTGATTAATTGCTACAATATGTACTTAAATAAGTGAGTTATACAGTTTTTGTTGATTGAATTATCTTACTATTTACTAGAAACCACATATTACCTGATGTGAATAGGATGGCAGTCGCATAAATTTGTCTCCAGGTATTACAAGGTAACGTCCAGGATCAAGAGCCATTTCAGCGAAAGTTTCAGCTAGCTGCTTGAACGTTGGTCTGCTGTCGACGTCCAACATCCAGCACGAGACCATAATGCAATAGATATCCAATGTACAAATACTTGGTTGAGGTAATTTTAAACCATTTTCAATTAATTGAGGAACATTTCTAGCTGAAATATTTGCATATGGTCTTGCTCCGTAGCTGAGAATTTCCCATATAGTAACACCAAAAGCCCAAACATCGCTTTTGTGAGTGAATATTCTGTGTTGAACGCACTCTAGGGCCAACCATTTTATGGGCATTTTTCCGCCTGCTGCTTTATATTCATCTTCATTAATATCAAGTAGTTTAGCAAGTCCAAAATCGGTAATTTTAACACAATTGGGGGTTTGCACTAGAACATTTCTAGCAGCCAAATCTCTATGAACCAGTCTTTTTTCTTCTAAATATGCCATACCACGAGCAATTTGTGTACACCAATTCAGAAAAGCTTTTGATCCAATTTTTTCTTTATGAGTTCTGACATAGTCAAGTAAACAGCCAAGAGGCATCAATTGAGTGATAAGCATCATTTGATTGGTCATGCATACTGCCAGCAATTGTAATAAATTGGGATGTTCCACGCTTGCCATAATATAAGCTTCTTCTAAAAATTCTTTACTTGTGTTAGCTCCTGTTCCTTCTTTCAAAACCTTTATGGCTACTGGAATTTTTACATTTTCCCCTTCTGGTACCCAAACGCCTTTGTAAACTTTACCAAAAGCACCAAAACCAAGCATTCCTCCTCTACGTAACTCTGCTTCCTTTACAATTCGTAATTTTGCAAGATTTGGCTTGACGTTAGTCGGTCTGAGTGGTTCGTTGTCCTCACATCCAGTAAGTACCCTAGTCATTTTTACGGCCTCTTTCTTTGCTTTTGCTTTTTGTCTGCATGTATAACCAATTATCGCAAGGATGATGAGGAAGATAAAAGCTATTATAAATATTATAACTAGGACTGTGGGGATTTTTGCAGTAGCCATATTAGGAAGACCATTTGACGAAGCTGAACAGTAGGGTTCATCTATCGGGTTTTGAAGAAGTTCGTCAAAATATATTTTGTGTGGTTTATCGCTTGGGCATTTATCAGTGCAGCTAAATGGGCTAGAATTATCATCTCCGAGAAATACTTTAAGATTATTACATTTTATACAGTCCTTTGCTGTTAGCCCTGTACATTCTCGACATTCTGGATCACATGGTGTGCACAGACGGTTGGCTTTATCTGTATAATGATCTGGTGGACATTCATGTTCACATTGGTCACCTCTCTTAAATCCATTGCATACTTGACATACCTGCTCGTGTATGCCATAACCAGTACATCTATAACATAATGGATGACATTTACGACAAACAACTTTTACTTTTCCTTCAAGAGGTTTGACATTGCCAACCCATTCGTTGTAATACCCTTCAGGGCAAGGTTCATCTTCTTTTAGACAGCTAGCAACAGTCGCTTCAACACTAATTATAGCCTTCTTACAGGAATTACATCCTCCTTCGCCAACAATATTTTCAGGACCAGTGCATCCATTAAAACAATTTTGATGGCATGGCAAGCAGGTGCCGTTTCCTGTTGTATATCTAGACTCTGGACATTCCGCGACGCAGTAGGGCCCGTCTCGTACATGTTTGCACTTAGTGCAATTTGCTCTCGTAGGACCAGAGCATCCGTCTAAACACTCAGCATGACATTGTCTGCAAACTTTTGGTCCACCTTTGTAAAGTCTGAAATTTTATAATAAAAGGCAAATGAGTCAATGATATTAATTTCTGTCAGAGGAAAATATGAAAATCAGTATAACGTTTAGATGGCTTATTTGATGATATTATAAGTTGATTTGATGATATAATATATGTTATTTTTTATTTTATTGTTTCATTTACAATATAAATAGACTCCCATATTTTTTTAAAGAGTAGTTAATGTGATATAAATTATGTGGAAAAAATCAAATATGTATAACAAACAAGCCATTGATGAGATAGTTGTAAACCCGCGCGAGTTTGCTAACATGTTGTCATATTAGCTACCTTATACAATTCAGTACAGTATCTATATATTATTTCGCATCAAATTCAAGATATTGTTATAACTATTTTTTATTTAAAAATTTTCAAATAATCTACAATTAAATTATATGTAAACCTTAATAATACCCACCCAGGATGTACGGAGCAATTTTGAACACAAGTTTCTCCAAATTTATAATTTTCACATGATAAACATTGATCCGGTCCAGGACCCCAGCAGCCATCCGCTGAGCATTGAGGATCACACACCAAATTCAATTTTTCTGTCAGGGAAAAAAACTTATTCATGGTTTTCTTTGTAAATACTTATAAAATTTTAAACAAAATTGAAATTGACTTTATTTGAAAACATATATCGCTTAGCATAAACATGTGATGGCTTAGGCTGTTATTGGGTTAGTCAAAGTGTGAAAAATATAATAATTCAAATATCGCTTGCACAGTTGCAAAGTAAATACTGTATAAAAATTATATAAGAGACATGAAACATTCGCAAATAGCTTTTATAAAAAATACAGTCTACTATGAGGATCCCCATTAAAATACGCAAGGCATGTGTATACTCACCACAATTTCTTAGGTCCCCATTTTTCTGAATTATTTGCTTATGATCTTTTGATTTGCCCAGTTTATTCCATGCTATTTTATCAGCGAAACAGAGTTGCCGATTTTCCATGATTGCTATAGCACCGGAGTTCACTCTTTTGAGAGATTTAAGTCCCAGAGATTTTAAAGAGGTCTTTACGATGTAAAGAGATGCAAATAAGTTTTCTACAACTTGACGCCCTCCTATAACTTCTAGATTTCTAAAGTAAGAGAGACTTGTGAAGTTTGGATGATGAGCTTGAACATTTAAGTAACCGGTAACTTCACGTACAGTGCTAAATACTTCCAACGCATCAGGTTCCATTTTCGGATATCTATCTCCGAAAGAGTAATCAGCGTTGACGTGTTGAAACCCAGTAAAAGTCATTTCAAGAATTTCTATCGATCCGTCTATAATAGTGCAATCCTTAAAACTATCGATGTTTCCGGAGTGGATAGGTTTTTCAGCTCGGCAAGTTTTCGGGCAAGTCACATTGCAAGGGATACATTCACCATTCACTGCTGTCTTATTAGGGGGACAGCTCCTAACGCAGGCTCCGTTGTCTTTTAATAGATGTTCTGGGCAATTTCGAACACAAGTAGCACCGTATGCATATTTTCCGTTAGGATTTGGTTCCCACGAATAAGTTGTTGGGTTATACTTTTGCATTGGTGGGCATTCTTGGGAGCATGTTCCTTCATCATAAAAGTTCCGGCAAGCAAGGCATTGACTAGGGAGAGGACCTTTACATCCCCCAGCACAGAAAGTATTGCAGCAATCCCGGGGGTTTGGGCCAAAACATCGTCCGTCTTCACATTGAGGACTACAGTTTGTTTTTGAGAACTTCTGACAGTTATGTATTCCTTCTCCCCAGCAACCCGCCTCACAACTAGGATGGCACGGCGGACACTCTCTTTCTGGTACATTAAAGGTGTATACAAATACGTATGTTGCATTAACACCAGTAATAATCTCATCCCAATTAATGGTTTTAACATGACAAAGGTTGTAATTATTGTAGATGCCCACACTGCCACGAAGGACATCTCTAAGAGCAGGAAGTTCCAGTGTAAGAGCCGAAGACATAGTCACCAAAAGAGAAAATTCCTCAACTCTTACATTAAGTTTGAAAAGTGTTCTGCCACGAATAATTTGTAGTTTTGGTAATATTATTTGAGCCACTTTCACGTACGAAATGAGAACATAACCAGTCACTTCTCTTATGTGTTGTAGGAATGAAAGGTCCATGGTTTCGTTCTCGAGCCACGTCAACTCTAAGTTACCATCGACGTAGGTGCAGTTGGTGAATCGATCGCGTAGGTTTCTGTAGTGAGTATCTCGATTCGAAGGCACCGACATCCGCCCATTGGTACCGATGCATACTGCAAAGAAAATGACATCATGAGTACTATTAAATACATTTCATTATCTACGTCTAGTATGAACAAGTATACTAACAAATAAATTTATAAAGTGACCTTTATATAAATATTCGACTTCATTTCAAGTATAACTTAAAATTCATATATATATATTTATGCACATAAATATTTTATAAGGCGGCAGCGCCAACGGATTTTTTAATACATTATTGTCAGTATATAAAAACTGGAAAAGTGAATGTGATTTTGCTCTAAATAAGTAAAGAAATCTGTGTTGGTGAGCGGTTTGTGCGAGAGAGCAGAGGTGTTGTCCCCGTGGGCGGTCTGAGTATCTACCAGTTCCGTACTAAGATACGACTAGCGCCGCTACAGTGATCGTCCACACAACACAGGGTTCCTTTTGTTGTGTTACACTACATTAACAAGTTAACGTACGCGGACGAATACGCATGTTTAAATTAGAGCTCTAGTCATTGTTAGCCGTACAACAGTTTGTTTTTACAATGTAAATAAAAGACTCGTTCTACTTTTAAATGTTTTTGTTGGACAGAATCGTATATTTTACACCGAAAATATACATTGTTTTGTTAAAAATGATTATATTTGATTGTAATATTCATTCTCATTTGAAGTATAAAATGTATATTACTATTAAATGTTAAAAACTTTTCTGTTTCGAGAAATTAGAGATCTTAGAAATAATGGCATCAAACAATAGCACTTTAACTTTAGAGATTCCTCGTAAACCACCAAAGGATAAATACGTCTTGGGTAAAAATACCTGTATTTGATGACAATAGCTTTTTTTAAGTAACAATGCTATGAGGACTGAGTGGCTCTAGCTGTACCGCAGTGCTGTTTGTCACCTGATACGTTTTTGCCCTTTGCAGGTATATATCAGTCTTCATTGTTACCTGGACGTTTTATTGTATACGTATCCTCTTTAAGGTTTTTCTATACTGAAATGTTCTACTTGCTTTAGAATTTTATTTGTTCACTTAAGAGCTCAGTAAATAATATCAAAAGATAAAATAAAGTACTTCATCAAAGATTATAAGATTGCGATTTAGCACTCTAGATTTTGCAAAATCCTTTGTTACTATTTTAATACTTAATTAAGCAATATATATCTTTTTCACAATAACTGTGGATGATATGGCTGCTGAGTTTACGTCATTACAGTTCTGTCTTGTTTCCGCCCACGTTAGCTCAGTCAAATTCAAATGTCACAGATCTGTGCGGAACGAGTTTGATATTTACGAACGTTTGATTCGTATTGTGTGGGCAGTAGAAATCCGATGTCCGGTCGACCCAGTTGCGGCGATGACATGTGTGATAGCATTCATATGGCCGGGGGAGGCTCGATTCGCTCTGTAGCTGCGTTTGGATGGCTAAACCGTTACAGTTTAACAATTATATTAAACATAAAAAAACGGACAATTAAGCCCACTTCCCGTAATTACAGAACTGGAAATATTTTTGCAATTTCCTCGTAAGCATCACACCAGCAACTTAGCGTTAGCTCCCTTCTCTTTGCTGACGCTCGCATAAAGCTGGTCGACTGGTTTGTCTCAAGTTCCATGCCAATGTTTTTATCCAGTCACTTACATTCTGAAGCATTGGAACCAGTTTTGATCCACTAACATTTCATTCGGCTGGCTCAGCCTTTCACTACAATTCCTTATTGTGCTCGCTAGCTCGTCGGGCGGGTTTGCATTATCGCCCGACGGTTGGAGCGAATGAATCGTTGGAACTCAAAATCGACTTTGCGGTTTTTAAGATAGGCTTTTGAAGTGGCTACACTTTGTAACTTTCCATCATAGCGGTGATGTGATAAATTATTTTAATTTGAAAAACCAGTCTGAATATGTATGAAAGTAACTAATGACTTATTTATATACAAACTTAAAAAAAAACACTTCGTTATATTATGAAGAATGTGTTTTGTCTAATGATTTTATAAATTGTAATTATATTGTATTTTGTAACGCAATCAGCACTTAATTTTGATTAATAATTTTGTAAATATTTAATGGTATTTTAATGTGTATTTCAAATATATTGTTAACCGCAACACGGCAAACCATTACACATAAAAACAATATAGCTTTTTAATGTTGTTATTATGATAATTATCGACTGTTATGTCCAAACTCCGAATGGAATTCTCCTATAGTCATTTAATTGAAAGCATTAAATGTTGTTTGTTTTTTTCATTGGTAAAGCGTTTTTCTGAATCGATAAAACAACTGCGCTATTGTAAACTATGATTTATATAACATGAAATTTAGGGTTTCTTTCGATTTAAATCAAAAACAAAGACGTAAGTTAATAAGTTTTGAGATTTTAATAGAATATGTATCAAATAAACAACTGCCAACGTAATGTGTTACTATTCAGATGCAAGGCGCGTTAATACTGCGAGAGATTTTTAATCATTCTTTTTCCAGAATTATGGCGTAGGTACAGTCGTCTCCTATGAGAAACAATTATATTTCTTAGCAAAAACTAAAAAAGAATATTAATATAAGTTATTAATTAATGCCTTAACGACATACAATTTGGAAGTAAGGACTGTATATATAAAGATTTTTTGAAAAATATTTTCCGATTCTGCATTTAATTATATATTTTTTAAGTCTATCGTGTTGCATATATTATTAAAGCGCAATATAAATATTCGATAGAATTGGTAGGTACCGGTTTTTGGATAATAATATATGTCGAGATTTCATGGATAAAGTGGTTTAAAAATATAGTTTTTAGTTGTTTATATTTAATTGGTAATAACTAATAAGTATTTATTCATAATACATTTTTGTCTAACAGAAATTCCTTATAAATAAAATCTATTTAAATATCCTATTGTTATTAGGATAACATTTATGTAAGTGAAACAGAACTAAAATATAAAACAATGAGGCGATAAATAATACATGGATTAAGTTTTAAGATCACTCAAAACCGAAATATGAACTATGTTTTTAATAGCTGCAAACAATAGTGATAAGGCTGCTTGTATAATAAATTATCGATTTTATAACAAGTGTGACGACTGTACTTGTAATGGTTGGTAACACTGCTTGTAAATATTAACAACTCTTGAACTATCGAATGCCTGTACCTGTGTCACTTATAATTAGTAAAATTGTTGTATAACTAAGGTTGCTTTAATTTTAAATATAGGAAAATTGCTTTTTTATATTATAACGGCAATACGACTACTTAGTAATGTAGAATATTACCTAAGACTAAAGCTTACAACAAAATTATCTAAGTCGCCCTACGCAGGACAAAAGTTCCCCTTCAGAAACATGGCAACTATAACGATAAAACGAAACAATGGGGCTTTGAACGATAATATATTGGTGTTTTAATAAACGGAACAAGCCTTAAGTTATAAATCGAGGCGGTTTTTTTATTTCTACAGTTCGAATATTTAGTTTAAGGAAAGTTACGTGGTCTTTTTGCGAGTAACAATTATTTCAGTAGTGCCAATATATATTTGTTTTCAGTTTCAATGTATAAAAATTAAACTTGTCAAGAGAAATATAGATTAACCAAATGTAATAAATAGTATTAGAAGCATTTAAACTTGAAGAATAATAACAGTTTGTAGTACTTTTCAGTTAAATTCATAGGCAAACTTACTAATCAAAATTGTTTTCGATATTAAAGATATATATATCTATGTATTTGGTATGATCACATGGATTAACTTGTTTTTTCTGAACATTAATGTCTGTTAGCTATGTTTCAATGTTACGTGTCCATATATGTATACATAGGACGCGTGTCCACTCGCCAATAACACAGGCCCACGCACCTTGCTCTCAAAACCTTTTCAATACTCGCTCCAGAAACTGTAGCGATTGTGTTTAGAAACAATGCAGGATTCAAGAGAGATGATTATGCGGTAATTGTTGAGCCTCGGCGGGGTCATTGCGTAGCTTTCACGACTCTACACAACGGCGTCTGTTGCAGTCAGATAAGCTTTGTTTACTTTTCAGGCCACCTAGTAACTGTTTTTGTATGCTAATTAAAGCTTGTCCGAGTGTTTATGACGTGGGTTGTTTCCGAGTTTTTCCGTTTAGCGGGAAACCAAGTATATGTTAAACTGTGATCCTCTCTACATTATCAGGACTTACTTTTTCCTTTGACAAATTCCGAATGTTTGTGCCTGGCGTTCGCGTCGTTGTGCAGGCGCCTCGCGTCCAGCACCGTCGCGCACGCGCACACGCACAGCCACCACAGATAGCTGCGGCCAGCCAACATGCTGCGACATCACTCACGCTAACACTCGCCACGACCGTCCGCGCACAACCTCCATCGTGTACTGGCCCGCCCGGTTTTCAAATCTTACCGTGCGCCCGCGCAACCACAGACTTACTCATTTTTAGAACCGCCCTTTGATTTATTTTGGTTTGGTTTATTTTATATTTAATGTGGTTATTTAGGAATTATAATTTATAAATTAAATTATTTATCCCTAGAACTGTTGTTTCGAGTTTTTAACTGTCATCATTTTCTTTTGAGAAAAATTTAGACATTAGACCTTATAAACAGATTAAAAACAACATGTATTTGGTATAAGAGCGTAGCTTGCAAAATATACCTATGTTAAATCGTAATATATCACTAACCGTATTCTAAATAAAAGTATAGGTAACTGTGCTTAGTACTTCATGCCTAAATTTGCGAAAAAATATATTTGAAAATAATTGTATTTACAGCTATGGCAGCTCTATGTTTTTATAGATCTATGGCATGTCGTTCTGCCCTCTTACAAGCACAGGTAAACGCGGAGAAGGACGCAGGTACGCGCCAGAGTCGCTACGCTGTGCTGACAGAAAAAAAAACACATAACAAAAGTTTAATAAGTACGCATTGTAGCCCGTGCTGGCACTGATACGAATAATAATAGACGATTGTAGCTGGTTGGCGCTTTTTGTGAGGCTGAGGCGATCTGATCTAATAGCTGAAGCAATTAATATACCGACACTGTACATTATATATATTTTAATGGTATTACCGAACTCACATTCAAATTAAATTGTAACCGATCACTGTAACGAGTCATTAAAAAATATAGAACGAGAAATTTTTACGAATATTATCCTTGTGATGTCTTGTACCGTGATATGGAAAAAAATACGAAGAACATTTTACTTAATAAATCTCCATTCTTGGTTGCTCTCTATTATTTAGATTATATCAGATCTATAAATATTTTGTTTGTGCTTAGATACATGGAGCGCGCGTTGAACTCTTTACGAAAGTGCAACTTAGCCCGCTGCTGTAATATTACTCAATAAAGCGGCGGCTAGATATTTCCGTGCAATTAATATTACTTGCTTTTAAAACCTCATGTGCAAACATATAATATAATGACTTTAATACACAGTGTGACTGTTGTTATATAGCGTGAGGAATGTTTAGTCTACATCGAATCTTTTCAGTCTCACGTCTCTCAAGGACACTATAAAATGAATATTAAAATAATTTTCAGATGCAAAACATATTAAATTAAGTATAAGACGGGCGTTCATAAATAGTCAATAATGTTTTATCTATAATGGTTGTTTACGATGTATATCTTGTAGTATAACCTTTTTACCTTCGATCGATATTATTAAAATTGTTATTTGTTATTATAATAGTAAGTTTTAAAGTCGTGTGTAGTGTGTGTCCGCCCACAGTGAACCGCGCAGGCGAGAGGCTGCGCCCGCGCACTCTTGAGCAAAAAATTAATACATCCATTAAATTAATTGTATATATAAATAATGCTTTTATTATATTAATATATTTATAAATAGTTTCCTTGGATTCGTTAGCTTATATTTGTTAAAAACGCGTGGTGTTTTCGCTTAACATGGCGGAACAATTCCACTACAGATAACAAAAGAAACGAACCACTCGACTGCATTGTTGTGTATGGCGTTTTTATTTGTGTCATTACATAGATACAGCAATGGCTAGCTGTCTCATAGAGTGGTAGATACTAGTGTCAGACACTATAAAACCTACATTTACATTTAACTGTGAAGTAACAGCAAAAGTCGAGATTATACGAACATCAATACAATGCAATTATTAAAAGTATTGTATTCATTTGTTTACTTTCTGACGGACAAAAACCATGTAAAAAAAATATATTCTTATAATATACAGTATATTTTATTTACAGTAATAGCTAGTTTTATATATAATAATGATGTCGAAACCGTTATTTTTACAATTAAAGATGATTGTTAGAAAAATATAAACAATAAATGCAGAACGAACTGCAAGCCTGAGTGGGCAATAAAGAAGCTTAATAACTGCTCTAAAAATTTTTACAATCTCAAATGCCTTGCGGATTAGAGTTGAGTGTCTTCTACAATCCTCTTGTTTTTAATATTACTATGAACATTCTTGGAAGAAATTCTTACATCTGATTTGAAGGTATTTGAAATAATCTTTATAGATCTTATCAAGTCATACTTTTAAATAACATAAATGAAAATAATGACAAGAAAAATAAAAAGTGTGATGAGGGTTAAAAACATCACTTTAAGATGTTAAATATATGTTTGGACTATTAAAACAAAACTAAGAATGTTTATAATTACGGCATATCATAAATGTTTAATAAAAAATGAGTCTGAAGTCCCACTGAGAAGGTTCGTTTTAGGCACTCGGCCATCAATACACAGCATTTTATACTCTGAAATTATAGTGATAGGATTGAAATTGATGTGTCATATGAAATTAAAAATATGGTTAATTTTTATCTGAAATATGAAAGGTGAAGCATCTGCCGCCCCTGCTGCTCGGGTCCGAGACCACTTCGATTTCGATACCTATAACACCAAATCTTTAGCTTTTGTTTAATATAAAAATTATATAAATTTGTTAAACATAAGCGATTTTTTAAAAATGTTATGTTTAAGTACATAGTGATTTTTTTTAATGTTGTATGTATTTAAATATGAAAGGTACGATAATTATTATCAATAATTCTTTTCAAAGGGGACAAATAACACGAGATATGAACATATTCAGTGTTATGCAAAGTGCCAAGCGAGATATGCATCCACTTGCAGGTCGCATGAGCCCAGCAATTCACATGCTAATGCTAAATATTCGAGGAACGAACCACTCAAAACCAAATGGGTTAAAAAAATCAACGACAAACGAAGAAAAGATAACGCAACTAACACTAATGTATAAATTATTTAAAACGGAATGCTCGAGGCGATTATTACACATTCTAAGAAAGAAAGTCGAATATATCAATTATAATAATTTAATTTGACGACGATTTGATTTGAGTGTTTTAAACAGATTTAAGTGCTATACACAATTATGATGTGACAGTGTATTGCGTGTACGATGATCCAGCCAGATGCACTTTTGACATAGTGGGTGAACAAAGGGCTGGCTTGTATTCACACGGTCCATACAAAAGATGTTTTTTGCGGCTGAAGATTCCAAACGAAATCTAAACGCGAATCGCATTGTGGGAGCGAGCCTTATTCTGAAACGACCATTTTTTGGCGTAACATTATTGTCCCGTGTGTATTTAAAACTTTGTTTTTGGAAAATTAAGGTATTATATTAATTTTACGTATATATATTTTTATTTTGCAACCGGTCAACAGGTCTTGTTAGTTACATATTCATTTAGTTTTCACGTCATCCCTTATTATTGTCGTTTGTCTTAATAACTGTAACAGGTAACAAAACTTCGTGCTTATAAAATTAAATAAAGCCTATTGTCACAATGTATCCCAGTTTAAAGTGGATGTCTGTAATAAAAATAAACTACACGAATGATGGTTTTTTTCTTATTCGTGTCCGCGACAACTGTTTATCTCAACCGCCTCCCGCTTCTAAAAACTTAAAGAGTGGCTCGCGCAGGTAATATCGGCCATTTTGTTTTCCTTTTTATCGTTATTTCAATAATCCGCATGTTTTATGGCTTGTTAAGCAGTTTGTTACGACCCCAGATTACTAATTATGTAGCGGGAACTCCGGTAGCAGGAAATGTTAATTATTGACTGTGTTTTAATTTATTAAATATTTTACTTGACATTTGGTTTTCTAGCATACATACATACTTGCCAGCGATGATAATAATAATTGAATTTATTATTATATAGAACGTTTCGTTAAATACTATAGAATTAACGTATAGCACTTGTAAGTGTAAAAAAATTGTCCAAATAATTTTGCGCAGACTAAATCACCGTCGAAGGATATTTTCTTAACAAATTTTTACACTCAGTTTACCATCTTAAATCTGCTCGAGCATATGAAAAAAAAATCCATGTAAGTTAATATCTCATAATAAACTCTTTTTTAAGGAACCTGTCATCTGACGCCACTTGCATGCGGGCATTCGTCTACTCCATAACATGTTTAAAATTTTGTTAAACATTGAAAACGCCTTAGTGGCTATACAGTAAAATAGCCATTTTTGAATTATTGTAACAATTAAAAGTATGTACTTGTTGATTATAAAATACTTGTTATTACCACGAAAGAAATAATTTGTGCCTATTTTTAAACTCATTTACAATTCTACGTATCAATTGTGTTCTAATATTGTGTTAAGTTTAAATTCACTTTGATTGTCATTAATAGATAGTATCGGTTGCGTACAATTTGTTGCAAATATAAAATTAATTACTTGTTTTACATTTTACTTCTATAATAGTTTTAATGTGTTACTGATTACAAAGCAATATAGTTATTACTCTGTTGGAGTTATTAATATTTCAATCAAATGTACATGAAAAAAAAAATCCTTGAGATAAGCGATGATGAGGCGAGAAGTGAGTCTTAATATTTTTTCTACCGATGGGTCCCAAAACTAATTACAGCAGGCATCTGTACAGGCCGTAGATTCGTCTATATATCAGCATCTGATATTTTATAAAGCTAAATGCTAATATTGTCGGCATACAATTAAAACAAATTGCCAATTTTAATATTCAGGTATGTAGATAAGAAGCTTGTTGTCAATTTATATTCCGATCACATAGTGTCAAACCGAAAATAGTTTTAGCTAAATGATTTACCACTTATTTAGCGTTTTAGAATATGTTTCACAAATTACATACATATAACAAAAAAACCTTTGAATAGAAAGAACCAGATTATAAGATAAGAAAGCTATTTTTTTGTTAAAAATATTTTATTTGTTTCTTTGATAAAATTGTTTGTTATTGAAAATCTGTGGGGTGATTGATAATAAGTCAATAATTTGACGTAAATTTTTCAATAGACTA